AAATTATAATTTCCACACTTTAACCGCAATTTTTTTTAAACGGTAGTTATTTGTAAGATCTACGCAAGCATGTGTACTGCGACTATTATTGGTTTATGTATGACGTTGACAATAGATAAATATATCAAAATATTTGTTTTAGGTGTGTCCGAAAAAAACCGTGTCTAAAATCACCAAAGAAGGTGAGGTCGCTGCCAGCACGTCGACTAAGGTTTCAACACCACGCAAAAGCGGTCCCCGGCCTAAAAAAAATCGAACTGGATGACTTCGAACGGTGTGCTATTAGGCATAAAATACATGAATTTTATTCCGTAAAAAAGGAATTACCTACTCTTACAAAGTTATTGCATGAAATGCGAAGCGAGATAGGTTTCAAAGGAAGTCGTACCACTTTGTGGAGAATAATGAAAGATATCGGGTTTTATTTTAAAAAATGTAGATCCAAAAGAAAAGTCCTAATGGAGAGATACGATATTGTCGCCTGGCGTTATCGATACCTGGAAGAATTACGAAATAATCGTCTCGGAAACCAGCGCCCAGTTGTATATTTGGACGAGACATATATACACGCAACATATTGCGCCGGAAAATGTTGGCAAAGCGAACAAGAAGAAGGTGTATTATCATCAGACTCTAAAGGGCCACGTTGGATTATCGTCCACGCGGGTGGTGCTATGGGTTTCATACCCAATGCTCAACTGATCTTCAGATCTCAGTCACAAGCGGCCGATTATCACGACGATATGAATAAAACGAATTTTAATAAGTGGCTTAGTGAAAAGCTTATACCAAATCTGCCTCCCCAATCAATTGTGGTGATGGATAACGCCTCCTACCACACAGTACAACTTAACAAAGCACCAACAATGTCAAGCAGAAAGGCAGAAATGCAAAATTGGATATCAAGTAATGGTCTTTCTTACTTGCCAACTATGGTAAAAGCCCAGCTATTTCAAATAATAAAAGAGCACAAACAGCCGCCCGTTTATGAAGCCGATATAATGTTGGAAGCGCATGGACATAAAGTGGTAAGGCTTCCACCTTACCACTGTGATTTAAACCCAATAGAGCTGATATGGAGTGTCGTAAAAAGACGAGTTGCTGAAAAAAACATAGGTCAAGAAGCAAATAAAATCGTCCAAATCACAGAAGAAGCCTTTGCAACGATCACCGAAGAAGAATGGAGAAAAGAATGTGAGCATGTGAAAAAAGTGGAAGAAAAATATTACGCCGATGGCCCAGTTATTGATAGCGAGATGGAGAGGTTCATAATTGAAGTGGGAGACGATAGCGACACTTCTGATGACGAGGATGATGAGGAAGATGAAGTTGACGACGATCTCTCGGGAATAAGTCCGTTGGATGAGCATTTTTTGATTGATCACAATTATAATAAAAAATATTAAATAATTTATGCTTTTTTTACTTTTCTGATTTTTAAAATGATAATTGAATAATTTATAATGAAACAACTTTTACTGATTTTATCGCCATAGTAAAGTAGCGGCGTAAAAGTTGTTTTATTATAATGAGTGAAATTCGCGTAAACATTAGAAAACAGAAATCGAATAATTTGTAAATATATAAGAATCTAACTAAAAAAACATACTTGAAATTACCCTTACTTTGAGGTGGGTTATTATAGATAATGTGACAGCACTGGAAAACATCGCTGCCAACATAACGCCATAGGAACTATTCGTTGAAACGAACTATAATTGAGAACGGCTATCCAGATAAGAGCATAGCCAACGATAAAGATTACCATGTATGCCCAGATGGCTAGCCTTAGATAATAGTATTGTGTGATTTACTCGATCAAACGCCTTGGAGAAATCAAGATCTATTGAATCTACTTGAGTCTTTGTATCAAATGATTCACATAAAAAAGTGGTATAAACTAATAAATTGGAAGTTGTGGAGCAACCAGATACGAAACCATGTTGTTTAATGTTAAGATGTGGTTTTATATGACTGTACAGTTGTTTATAGATCATAGTTTCAAAAATTTTATCAAAACAGTTTAAGATAGAAATTGGTCGATAATTTCTGACATCACTCTTATCGCCTGATTTATAAATAGGGGTGATTTTAGCAATTTTCCATAAAGATGGAAATATACCATTTAAAACTGATTTATTATAAATGATTGTTAATGGTTTTGATAATGCAGAAGAACAAATTTTTATAAAAATTGGTGGAATACCATCAGAGCCCGATCCTTTAGAAATATTAATTGATTTGAGTTGAAGTTCAACTGCGTCTGCGGAAAATTGTAAATTGCTTATAGAAAAAATAGATGGAGGAAATTTTGGTGTATAATTAATAGATGATATATTTCCATAAACAGTTGAAAAATATTCAGCAAAAAGATTAGTAATATCAATACCAGATTCAGCTACTCTATTATTAAAATGCAGCTGTTTAGGGATATTATTAGTTACTCTCTTATTTTTAGTTTAACGATAAAAAGTTTTAATGTTTTTAATTAAATTATTTTCTATATTTGATATATAAGACCTAAAACATATTTCAGTTTGTTGTTTAACTCTTGTTCTTAGGAGAGCAAAAGTATCATAGTCTCTTGGATTATTGTAAATTTTGAAAAGTGTATGATATTTATTCTTGCTTTTGATAAGTTTAATTAAACTTTTTGAAAACCAAAAAGGGTATCTATTATTGCGTTGTTTAGATTTTGGTGTGTATTTTTCTATTATTGTATACAAAATATTATAAAAAAATTGTACATATTCATCGCAACTAAGTATATTAGCATGTCTTTCCCAATCAATTTGTTTTAATTCTTTAATACAGTTAATATAATCGGTTTTATAAAAACACAATTTGGTAATTGGAGTATTTTCAAGAAGATAGGTGACCTTGGATGACCATAGGATGATGACAATCGAGGAGGCTTATAGGCATAGCTTTAACTAAATTAAATTTGTCCTCTTGATCAGTCAATACAAGATCAAGAATTTTGTTGTTAAGATTTGTAAGTGAATTAAGTTGTTTCAATGATGTTAAATTAATGAGATCAAATAGAGCTTTAGATTTTTCACAAGTATAATTCATGGGATGACCTGGTGATTTAGACCAAGTCAAATTAGGGAGATTGAAATCACCCATTATACATGTTATACAACCGGGAAACATGCTGACAACCCTATTACATTTATTTATAAAATCATCGAAAATATTATATGGTAAATATTCTGGAATATATGCAGTACATAAATTTAAGGTACAGTGACTATTTAGTTTTATTTGTAACCATAGATCTTCTAGTATGTCAGATTTCCATTCATGCTTAATATCAAAATTAATTTTTTTAGAGATAGCTATTAGTACGCCGCCACCTCGATATTTATTAAAGCGTTTTGAAAAAATTAGATCACGATCCCTTCTTACTACCTCATACCTTTTGTCAAAGAATTCTGTTGAAAGAACGGAGTTGTCGAGCCAAGTTTCGGTAAGACATAATATATCGTAATTTTGACTTATAATATTATTACAAATCTCAGTGATTTTAGTTTTCATACCACGAATATTTTGGTAATATATTGAGAGAGCCATATTTAAAAATTAATGCTAAAAATAATTTAGTAGAATAAAATTAACGAATAGACTTAATTAACGCTATCCATATTTTTGATATGAATAAATGGAGAGTTTTCATCCTTTCTAACGTAAATTCGGCAGTTTCGAACCCATGTGAACTTATACTGTAATTCTTTAGCCTTTTGACGAGCAGCAGCATGTAGAGCTTTGTTAGCAGGAGAAAGATGCTCCGAAACATAAACTGGCTTCTTCTCGTTGGACATTCCGATCAAAGAGGTATAAAGTTTGTTATCTGGATGAGTTTTGTTATATCTGTAAACTGCTGAATAAAATTCGTCACGTCGTCTAATACTTTTAAACCTTATTTATTATTGTTGAACGAGGCTTTTTACTCTTTCTGTTTTGTTTAGCTACTCTCGTGAAATGAACAATGTCATCATCCGCTATATTGTGACCAATAACATTGGCACATTTTTGAATTATGTTGGGGATATTTTCATTATAATGTTCGGGTATACCATTCAATTCTAAGTTTTCTTGTCGAAGGTGTTGCTCTAAAATATTGATACGATCGGATAAATCAGTAACGGTTGTTTGAAGTACGGAGTTTTCATTCCGTAGACTTTTATTATCATTACTCAAACTCTTCGATTTTCACCTTCATTTCATCATGCATTTCACTGAGGAAACTAACTGATTTGCATAAATCATGAACCTCTTGTGATAGTGTAGATAGTTCACTTTTTATTACCTTCGATAGCATTGTTGGAATTTCTATTTTAATTGCTTCCAAGACTTGGTATCGAATAGCTGCAATGGCGTTGTCATCTAAGCTTGTGCTAGTGGAAATGGAAGGTGAGTTAAATGATTTTGGTTTACGCGTAGTTATATTTGAGTCATGAGATTCGGATAAGACATCTTTCTGTCCTTCATCAAAGGCGAATATCGTTCTAATTGGAGTATTTGTATTGCAAATTTTAGGTTGCTTATTTATAAAATATTGCTGTGTTCAATATTATAAAAGTACCTTAGTCATACTGTAGCACGCATAATAAAGACACGTGAATTTGGATTCGTAGTTTGTTCTTGCACCTTATACAGTAGAATTCATTTATAACGACGTCGCTTATAACGACTAACCGTTTTTAGCGTCGATATTATTTACTCAAGTTCGGTTTAATAGTTAGATACTGAGAAAATGTAACCGTTTAGTGCGACTCCAGTTTGAGCGACAAACCGTTTATAGCGACCATTTTTTACGATAATTCGTCCGTTTAAAACGACGCGCCGTGTTTTGTTTCAATTTAGGTAACGAATGACCAATACCTCGGCCCCCTCACTTTCCCCGCGCGCTTCACCGTTCAATTCTCCTTATTGGCGCGCGTAAATCACAGTTAGTGTTTGTCACCTGTTATGACAAGTTCATAAAGCGCCATAAAATGAGTTCTGTGAAGAGAAAGTGTTTTACAATTGAAGAAAAGAGTGCAATATTACACAGATTAGAAGCTGGTGAATCAAACGCGACCCTCGCAAAGAAATTTGGCGTATCTCATTCTACAATATCAACAATAAAGAAGAATAAATACAAGATCGAGCCGCTATTTAATGCCAATGTTTTGAAATGCAAACGTGTAAGAACTTCTACTCATGAGCAGTTGGATAAGGCATTGTTACAGTGGTTTAAGCTTCAGCGCGACCGGGGAACACCTCTTAATGGACCTCTGCTACAAGAGAAAGCAAATTTTTTTGCTAGACAGTTAGATATGCAAAATTTCATATGTTCCATGAGTTGGATAAACCGTTTTAAAGTAAGACACAACATCGTCAGTGGAAAGATTGTTGGCGAGTCTTTTTAAGTACAACAGAGTGATGTACACGATTGGTTAGAAAAAGTTTGGCCTACTCTACGTGCTCAATTTAGTGATGATGAAATTTTTAATGCAGATGAGACCGGGTTGTTTTATAAATTAACCCCAGACAAGACGTTGAAATTTAAAGGTGAAAAATGTACAGGAAGAAAATTATCAAAGGAGCGAATAACAGTGATGGTGGCAGCCAACATGAGTGGCACAGCTAAAAAAACTTCTCGTAATCGGGAAATCTCAACGTGCCAGATGTTTTAAAAATGTACGGCATTTGCCAGTGGATTATGAGAGCAATCGAAAAGCCTGGATGACTGGTGACATTTTTACCAAATGGGCACGCGCATGGGATCGTGAACTTACGAAAAAGAATAAGAAAATCTTGCTGTTAGTTGACAACTGTCTTGCACATCCCCATATTGCAGACTTGAAAAGCATAACCCTAGTATTTCTGCCTCCAAACACGACATCAGTGTTGCAACCCATGGATCAAGGGATCATTCGAGCTTTGAAAGCACATTTTCGTAAAAACCTTGTTTTAAAAATGATCCAGTTTCTAGATGGCGGATGCAGTAGTGTTTAGTGCCCGAAGATCACTGTTCTTGACGCTATTCTAATGATTCAAGATGCCTAGACTCAACTCAAGCAAGGAACAATTTTTAACTGTTACAAACATGCTGGTTTTGTCCGAAGCAATGTAGAATGTACCATAACTTCAGATGATTTTAACGAAGAAGACGACGTACCGCTGAGCATTTGGGCGAAGGCTATTGATAAGCATCAGTTACCCATAACAAACGAGGACTTTGAACAATACGCGCGTATCGATAATGCTGTCGCCACTTGTGAAGAGCCGTCTGATGAAAACATTGTGGATAATATCATCGCCGACAACGCAAATAGCAAAGATAGCGACGGTGATGATGACGAACCAGAGTTTTATCCAACCTTGAGTGTATCTGAAGCTCTGAAGGCTGCGAAAACGCTTAATGTATTTGTTCAGACTAACTTTGATGATGACCATATGAAAACAATGATGTCACGAATTCACAATGCTATCCGAAGTTCTTACTACCGAACAAAAGTCTGTCAAAAACAAACCCAAATAACAGATTTCCTACGTTAGTGACAGTATTACAGTACATTACATACCTATGTTTGTAATTTGATATGTACTACTTATTTGTGTACATATAAGAATAATTAAAATATACATATGTAACTGATTCCTACAACATGTTTTATTTACCTAAATAGGAAAATTAAACATAATTACATACATATGTAAATATCAGTTTTATACGTCATCCGGTTAGTACGACATAATATCGCCGGTCCCTTGAAGGTCGTTATATCCGGATTCTACTGTATAGTTATAATTATAAAAATGTTTTAAAGTTAAAAAATATTGTAATGTGGTTGGTGCAATTTTCATTTTGTTAATTGTGGGTAGGCTGTCTGTAACAACTATACCTTCAAGACATGTAACACCTCAGTCTCTTCCGTGACCATGGATGCTGTAAAGCATTCGAAACGTCGGGAACCAAAAATCAAAATACATTTGCGAAAAAATCCGAAAAGATAGTTTTATTTAAAATATTGCTTTAGTTCCTTGTCATGTAATCTTCTTTTGTATGTATATCATATTATATGCGTTTTATATCTGTACAACCATCATTTTTTTTTAAATGTTGATCAAGGCTTTTAATATCATAGTACTTCCAATATTTACCTAAAAAATGTACTCTGCCATGTTGAGATATTATTTTTTGATAATGTTCTTTAGTGTTTATCATTGTTACTTTTCTGAGATATTTTTCTATTCACCTAAAAACAAGATTGGCTGGCAAATAATTATGTCCCCAAACAGGATATACAATCAAAATTTCTTTTATAGATGGAGGTGACTCTTTGGCTAACCAAAACATAAGTGTGTCAATAATAAATGAATTTTTGTTTTGACCACCACACACAAAACATGCGGATGCTGTCTATGTTTTCTAAAGAACCATTCTGCTCAATAGTCTCACTATTTAAATGATTGAACAAGGTAGAACCTACTTCCACTGAACCTCTTCCAGCCATCTCTTCAGTCCAGCAATAAAAATCTGGGTCCCTTCCATCCACATTCACAAATCACAACACAAAAATTATAAAAACTTATTTGCCGCTCATAGAAACTATCTTGAATTGGTGTTTTGGGTAAAGGTATGACTTGCTGCAAGTCAAAGCAAAAGGAATAAGAATTGTCATCTCTTTGTTTCAATAACTGGTAAAAAGCATTTGCTCTCAACTTGTCTACCCTTTTTTCTGTCATGTGATGCTGTTTCTTTTGCGAGTCTTCTTCAGCTTTAATTTTATTATTCAATAAAGTACATGTTGTGCAAGCATCACTTACTGGATATGAGAAACCCATGTTAAACTGTGTGATAAAAATGTTACTAAAGTGCCATTTTTTTACCTTTAGTTGAGCGTCGACAGAATCATAGTAAAATTTCCACAGTTTAGTTATGTTCAATTCGCATGATAAATAATTTCTGCTAGTTTTGCTTATATTATAGTGACTTTCCTTCATTGGCAAATCTTTTAAAAAATCACAGACACTGCATTTTTTCTAGACTTTTTGGATTTTCAGTCTTCACCTTTTGATTCTTTAGGGACTTTGTCAGAACGTATGGTATTGCAAATAGTATTTAGCCTTTTGCGACCCAAACTAAAGGCTTTCATAAAAAAAGCCTTGCACACTCTTTACTGCCTTTTTGTTTTTATTCAATAAATAAAAGTTTGTCAAGAACTTTCGTGGCTTTGGTTTATTACTTTTTGAATCAGTCTTTTTTTTTTGAGGCATGAAAGATGTAATGAGGATGAGATGTCTTGATTAACTTTCTCGTTATTGTTGTAGAACAGTTTCCGATACCGAGAGATATCTTGCTCTTACAGTTTTGTGTACTTGAAAAGCGATGAAGGCTCGTGCACACAAGGGACGAAAAAACTATGACATAAGGGGTCTATGTCTTTATATCTAAAACAAAACAATAAACAATGTTAAACTTTCGCAACTAAACATGATTACGCTATGTAAGACATTCAAAACCAAATCCAAACAACTTCTCATGTCACTTACTATTATCTTGTACTTGCCGCTTGTTTCGTTCTTTTCTTGGCTTTTTGCGTGATCCTCGGTTAATACTCGTCACGTCTACCTCATCTTCCATTTTTATAATACTTTTATTTACAAATTAATTGAAGACTAGAATACCGATGGAAACAGCAAAATTAAGTGTCAACTGTCAAAGCAGTGCGACTTGACAGTTAACAGGTGTAGCCTGCCTGAAAAAATCCATAGACTAAGAGACTCAGTGTTGTCAATGTACAAAATTATTCAACCGATTCTCATAGCGCTTAAACAATATTTTATAATCGATTCATTTTTTTTAGGGAAAATGTACCCGGTTTGAACCGACTAAAAACTCTTCAAACGTATTTCCTAAGAATATGTCACTTTTTAATTCAAGTCTTAATAATTACTGTGATTGAATAAAAGTGTAACTTTGTTCCGTAAGCAAAAATTAGAAATTCAAAATAGCAGCAGTTCAGATCGATTTTTCTATGAAATTAGTCACTTTTTAAACAAAATCTTGGGAGGGACAGATATAACTCGCGTCATCTAAAAAGAACACTGGCTGTCAAGATACGCAGAAGCGATTTATCGGTCAAATTGGTGGTAAGAGGTGGGGCGCGGAGCGGCGGGGCACGCACCGCATGGTCGTCAGTTCAAAATACCATCGCGCACACAAAAGTTTTTAATTACGAAATGCTTTTTATATAGAAAAGAGAGAAAAATTATTTTTGACGTATATTGTTTTATAAAGAGAGAGTCTGATAATAATACAGTTAATAATTTTAAAAAATCGTTCTTTATTCCTTGGTTTGTCCTTTGTTTTTGAATGTTTAGGACACACACGTGTTTCTGTCGTTCTGATGTTTGGCCTTAGAACATAATAAAGTTTAAGACGCGCAAAAGTGGCGTAAGAAAGTTTTCCACCTTCTTGTCTATACTTTTTATGTAAGCTCAGCATCGAATTTAAAAGATGACGTTTTTGTTCTTTCTGTTTCTTTTTTGATTTAGTTTCTTGCTTCCCAGCAGTGGCCAGCATTTTATTTTTGATTTTATATTTGTTTGTAATTGCATTATCAACGATAGCCTTCAAGGGGTTTTTTGTTTTAATTGTGTTTGTTCTTGAATAAACTGTTCTAAGTGAATCTGAGAGTACATTTAATTCAAAGAGCTTTTTTTTTAATCTAATTCTAATGTCGATGACACCGTTGCATCAACGAATATATTCGCTTTAGTAAGTGGTGTAGCTTCATTCTGTTGTTGTGATTTATATTCCCCATCATCGTTTACTTGCTCGTCATTTATCATCAATTTTTGGCGTTTAAAATTGTCAATTGTTTTTTGCATCAAATATAATTTGGATTGGTATCGATGCACAGTCTTTTGTAGGGTTTTACCTTTTTATTCAAAAACCAATTCGTATTTTTCAAAACCGTATTCTGTTTACGCAATTCTATGTTATCTTTTAGAATATTTTCTTCGATGTTTTGATTATAGGCAGAATTGGCTCGTTTAGCTTTGGCAACATTTTCTTTTCTGGATCTTTGTATAAGTTTTCCTTCATCAGTTAATTCTTTGACCTGTTTTTGCCGTTCTTTTACTTTCTCTAAGTGTTTTTTTTGTCTTTTTTCTTCTTACTTATCTGGATTTTGTTGCTTCATTTTTCTATATATTTTTTTTGACGTTCTGCAGCTGTCATTGGTATATAGCTGCAACAACCAAAAGTAATAATTATTATGTACCTTACTAACTGATAGCTGTGCCCCGGGGTTTTACCCGCGTTTTGCCGTTTCCATGGGAATACCGGGACAAAATGTCCTTTTACGGGGTCTCATCTATCTCTATACCAAATGTCATCCATATCCGCTTAGCCATTTGAGCGTGAAGCCGGCCTAAACAAAGCATAAAACTGATAGTTAAAGAGAGTTGTTTGCTGTAATTTTGTTTTTAATAACGAACTAGCACATGTACCTACTATTTCATAAACGCATCCAAAATTTCGTGACGTCAAGAAAATGTCAATTATTATTTATTATTAATCCTTTATTACACCAAAAACAAAAATACAATTTAAATGAATATATAAATTTACAAATATATGTTATTGTATAGGCGGCCTTATCACTAAAGTGATCTCTTCCAGGCAACCTATATTAGTATATTATAAAAAAACTCATAGGGTGACATGGATTATGGTTGGATTGCAAAAAAAGAACTAGTCTATAATAAACTTACTTAAACGGTACATACCTTAAAATACACACAAGCTTACATAAATAACAATAAGGACATACATAATATATAGTATAATATATAAGTATAAACAATATACGTATATATTCTACAATAAACTTACTTATACAGGGCTTACATATACATATATACATAGACTTACAGCGATAAATAGTAGTTTTTATGACGACGTTTGAATACTTGCACCGATTTGATTAAATGTATTATTATTATAATAAAATATTACACTTAATATGTCTTTCTTTATTTTTGATAACCTTCGTATCCTTCAAATAAATAAAATAGTAGAGCTATAACCAGCAGTAAGAAAGCATGCTCAAATGCCTAGTATTCAAATCTAAATAAGTCTTATTAAAAGTTAAGAGTTCACGCTCAAGTTAAATAAAAACGAAATAAATAATAAAAAAAAAAACAACTGTCATGTTCTATATGTGAAATCCATAGATAACAAAATGTTTCATTTTTTGTTAGGGAGTGCGCCGTCTCATGCGTAGTATAGTTTTATGGACTTCAAGTGGTGACATTTTGTCAGTTGTCACCAAAAAGGTAACTGCGACAGAAACATGTTACTGTCCCACTCGTTGTCGCCAAAGAGATATCAAGCTTAATAATCGAACAAATGAAAGGGATAGATAGCTAATTATCGAACAAATGAAAGGGATAGATAGATTCGCCAAAAGCTAGCATGGAACTAATCCATCTATTTTATTGTCATCTATGGCCCATGATTAGTGTTGCGATTTGAGATTTGAGACATAGCCGCTTAGAGTTTTTATTTGCCATCCATGCTTAGAATTTATTTTTATATGTAGCAATATACTCTATGATCTATGCCTATGCCATAGATTACACGACATAGAGCGTTATAGCGTTAATGTGATAAATTGACATATTAAGGGTTACCATATTCAATTTGGTTTGCTTATGGTATTGTAAAACTTTGGTTATGGGAAGCGCCAGTTCTGTGACAATGTATTAATTATTACACACAATGTACTAATTAATTAGCCCAACGTGCAAATAAAAATATATTTACTTCACGTTATATAACAATGATGTAAGAAAATTAATTAAAGTTACAAACCAACCAAAAGAACCATTCGTCTGCATTCTGCGCACAAACATAACCAAAATTGAAATACAAAGACTATCAAAAGATACAAATGAAATAAAATGCATCTTTTCGATTGTTTCTAATTTAATTTTTCGCCTATAAAAAGATATCCCGTAATATTATTAGAAATATAAGGATTACGATTTTTTAACTTGGATAAACTAGAGATTATTTTCTACAGACTGATAAACAAACGTCTTTATTTTATAATACTTTCTTAGGTTTACGCGAATATTTGACATTATAAATAAAACTATCTTTTCGGATTTTTTCGCGAATTTATTTTGATTTTTGGTTCCCGACGCTTCAAATGCTTTACAGCAATCATGGTCACGGGACACTTTACTCAGGAATTTACGGGAGAGACGGTATTAGATATCTCAAAGGCATTATATAGTTGTTACAGACAGCCTATCCACAAATTAACAAACTGGCAATAAAGTACCTTAAAATATGTGTTAACTTAATTTTAAAATATTTTATAATTTTAATTATTTTTATAATAATTGATTATGGAGTATTATTTATTTTACTTTAGCTGTTATTATTATAATTATTATATTTTTTATTAAAAACTTTATTAATTCGTGGTCTATATTTAGTGCTGCCATTATTATATTTATAAACTTAAAGAAAAATAAAATATGAATAGTTCAAGCCCCATTATTTTTCTATTTGTAATTTAAAAATTTAAAATTATGTAAGTATAATAATTGTAATTGTAAAAATCAAAATAAATTCACGAAAAAATCCGAAAAGATAGTCTAATTTAAAATCTTTACTTTATATTTAATTTCGATATCTTGCTTATTTACATAATAAAGAATAAATGAACTTCTTTTTCATAAAAACGGGCTTTCATAGTTAACTTTATTTAATGTATTAACTAATTATTGGTCCTAGATAAATAAATATAAAAAACTGCATTATATTTGTTTTTTATACCATAATGTACATACCGTGCGACAAAATCAAATGTTCGTATATAGCCTCATATAATCCTATAAAACACATTGTTACGAGTAACTTCGTTTTAGTATAAATATCACAAAAAACTGGAACGATAAACGTAGAATAAATTAATTTATATATTTTTAAATCATTTAATATACATTTATATTTTATAAGTTATTGACATGGTATCCCTATTCCATATCGCAAAATTGATGGTGGAAACGGAAATAGTGCGCGGCACAAAGACAATGCGCATAATCTAAATGATATTTTTTTTTTGTATTATAGTAAATATTTAAAGATAAGAATTTTTTATAAATTCTAATATAATTTTCATTTACCTCCAAGTCCAGACTGTTCGTAGTGTGTATTTCGAATGGTTGCGTATGTGTCAGTTTACAGTTGTTAGGTTATAATTATATGAGTTTTTGAGAAGTTTTAAGAGTTTTGTAAACGTGATATTGAAATATAATGGATTCAGCACCAGCTCAAGAGGTGACGGAGTTATTAAAACAATGGGAAGAACAACACACGACTCCCAATTATGATCCCATACCAACTTTGACAAGGTGAGCTCGGTTATCAGTAAACGTCAAATACACCACATTGTGTACGAACTACGAAATATTTTCTATACAAAAATTACCGGCCCAAGTTTCAAGGCAACAAGTGATAATATTCACACAGTTTTTTGTTTTTAATTCAAATCTTCTATACCTATTATAGATTTAATGTTTAAGGAATTTTATACACAATATATTATAATATGATTAATTTAATTTGTCATTTTTAGCAGAAAATCTTTGAATAAAAATTTTTTTTGTTAAGTCTATCATGATTGTTTAAAAGATAAAGAATAAAAGATAAAGGTATACTAACAATATTTATTAATAAAACTTAATATTGTGCCGGTGCTAATAATTTTTGGCATTACATGGTATCGGTAACTACTATATCTTAAAATGTAATTATATCATATAAGTAAATAAGATATATCAAAATGTTAATATTTAAGTCTCTCATTAAAGAAATCTTAAGTTAAAAAAAGCAAAATCTAAAGCTATGGAAGTTTTCATTTATTAAATAATTTAAATATCACTCACATTGTGTTGATAATATGAATTATTATATAATGATAAAAGTAAAAAACAAAATAGAACAAGTTTCGACAAGCTTCTGTTTTAGTATAAAATTTCATAAAGTTATGCAATTTACATTTCACAGTATGAGATTAAGGGTTTTTTAGTTAATTTATATGAAAATAAAAATTTGTTTATTACACTGTTTTCTAATTTAATTTTAATTAACAATTATGTATTTAATATTATATATTTATATACATATTTTTGGTTTGGCAAATCACTAAATCTAATATATAAAATTCTCCTGAAACGGCTAGACTCATTCTTATGAAATTTAGTATGTATATTCAATAGGTCTGAGAATAGGATGTAAACCATTTTTCATATTTCTAAGTAATAAGGGTGGTCCACTCCAAAAAATAATAAAAATAAAAATATTTTATGATTCAGCATAAAAAATACATACAAACCTAAATTTTCACTAGGAACGAACCCGAGAGAACAGAGCGAGGGTGAGTCACTAGTAAATACATAAGTATCAAAATATTGCATCAAATTAATAAATATTTGGAACTTTTCTCATTTTTATGCCTACTTTTTATTTTATTGGTTAGTGACAGTCTTTTCCTTTGAGCTCCTATATAAAATGGGAGTTAGAAGTCACTAAATAAAAATATAAAAAAAAAAATGAGTGATATATTTATTAATACCAATATAAATGGACAAGCCACAGACAGTAGCTAGTTAAATTTTTATTAAAACATAATTTTTAAATAATAAGCTATATTCTTTGACAATATATGCTATAAAAGAAACTACGTTACTAGGTTAACTGTAACATCTGGCATAATGCCACATGTTGTTAATAAAAATTTACATATAATTTAAAATCTACACTTCTAAATCAAGTCTACATTTTAATCTTCATTACTTTTAAAATTATATAAAAATTATATTTATACATTGCACTAAGTGCTACTTCTGACTGTCAGAATAATCATGATATCTATTCTCTATGTTTTTCTAATGATTTCATTGTTTTCTTGAAAGTTGTGCATATTTAAAAAAAAAAGTTTTTAAGGAGCAATCTCCAACTCCTAATTTTTCTATATATTATTCCTCATGGGGTTTCTTCCTCCTTAGCAAGATTTTGTACTGTGGGCAATGGCTGATACAGAATATATTAAAAAATATCCACACACACAAACACTTTCACATTTATAATATTATTTAATATTATAAATGTGAAAGTGTGTTTGTTTGTTTCTCCTTCTTTCACGTCAAAACAGAGTTATGGATGGGCGTGATTTTTTATTAATCTTATAAATTTAAAGTGAAGATTCACTTCGAACACATTTCCATAAAAACTTTTTTTTTGTCTTAAAAATTCTAAAATAAACATACTTTTTTTATTTATAGTATAAAAAAAAGTTATCATAGGTAAATATTTGACTTCCAGAATAGCAGAAATAATAGAAGCGGAAACAGAAAATTTTATGAAAAAAGATCCAGACCCATTTGATGAGAGACACCCATCGAGGACTGATCCTGAATGTGCATTGGGGCATGCGCTAAAAGTTATGTTTAAGAAAGATAATTTTATGACTAAGGTAATTTTTAATATATTATGAAATATTATATTTGTTTTAATAATATAATAATATTTTTACTAATTATACTAGAGACTTAAAACTTGCTTCGCTGAAGTGCGTCCCTACTTACTTTTTCTCTACTAAGTACACCCTAAGTACTTTTTGATTTTTTGTATCAGAACCCTAATTCTTTTTCTAAAAGTAAACTAAGTTACTCCTTATAACATGATCTATCTGCCAATGAAAATCAAGAAAAGATTAGCTGGAACAAACAGACAGACAGACAAAAATTTCAAAAATTATATTTATTCCTTTAAGTATTGTATATACTTTCATATGCATTTAGTATAAAGCTGTTATTTTGACGTTCCAACTGAGTCTCAAGTTTGAAATAATACTCCTTAAAATCAATTATTATATCCAAGTGTAAATATTTAATGTTTTATTTTTGCAGCTTGTAAATGATTATGTTCGTGACACATATTATTCAAGGCAGAATATAACTGGACGGGATGTACATAAATTGAATGTGGCTGCGTGCAGATTGACCCTAGATCTGATGCCTGGACTGGAAATGAGTGTTGTATTTCAGGTATTTTTTTATATCATCCTATATATATCTAAGGTGGTGGTAGCCCAGTGGTAACGCATTGGCTTGGGTAACCGAGTAAAGCGAGTTCAGGTCCCAGGGTCTCACACCTCCGATATTTTCATATGTGAATCATTTCCAAAACTATTACCACTTGTCTTACGGTGAAGGAGAACATCATGAGGAAACCTGTCTGAGATAACAAGTTTTGGAAAGACATGCTCAGTCCGCCCGCACTTGGTCAGCATGGTGAATATATATATCTAGGTCCTAGATTCTATAAGGACCAGTCTTCGCCATCTTGGGTTAACACGTGTGATAATTGCTTTACCTGTTCTGATAATTTGGTCAAGTGTGAGTGGATTCTCTTGTAGTAGATAATAAATATCACACTACTATTATATATACTAAATGTGTATGTATGTTCGTTACTCCTTATAAAAAGGCTTTTTGTATGAAATTAAGTGCATAAATATACCGTGACCTAGAGTGACACATAGAGTATTTTTAGTTAAAAACCACTATATAGTAAAACTAGCGACTCACCCTCGCTCCGCTCGAGTTTGTCCCTACGATACGTTTTCACGTTTAGCTCAGAGATTAGATATTTTCCTGCAGTAAAAAGTATCCTATATGTTGACCCGGATAACCAGCTACCATCATACCAAATTTCATCAAAATTTGCCCAGTGGTTTTCTCGTGATGTGTTCCCAAACAGACGCAGAGACAAGAATTCAAAAAACTATAGATTCGGCCTCTGTATCGATAATAATGACTATTTCAATAAGATTTTCCAAAAAATATTTAATGTACAGATTCTGCTTAGTTACAATCTATACATACGAGTATAATAAAATTCTAAACTTTGGATTGAATCCTTTCAGTATCGATCGATATATCGATATTACCTATGTATTAATACGTAGGTATTAAATATATATTATTATAAATAAAAAAAAACACCTGACCAAATAGGTATCTAATAATATAATTGATAAAGTAACTAAAGAACCTTCTTTTCCCACATCAATTAAATACATTTTATATTTATCGAATTAAAAACATCCTATAACACTCGGCGGTATTGTAGTCTTTGCTATTAGCGAAAGTTGACGACACATTTGGCTCTGTTTGTAGTGACCCTACTTGCTGTGCCAGTGGTCGCGGGTTCGAGTCCCGCTGGGGGCATTCATTTGTGTGATGAGCATGAATGTTTGTACTCTAGTCATGGGTGTTTGTATTTATAATATGTATGTATTTAAAGTTATATATGTGTAGTGTATCAACTATCTGGTATCCATAACACAAGCCTTGTAGCTTGCCATGGAACTAGATGGTGCTGTATTTTAATGTCCTAACATATTTATTTAAAGTATTTTCAGTATCTGTTTTCAGTAGTAGTAGTAAGTATTTTCAGTAGTAGTTTCAGAGATTACCCGCTACATACAAACTTACAAACGTCTTAATAATATTAGTGTTGTCATGAATTGTGTTGTAAGTAAAATAAATAAATATATATGTTTCATATGAAAATTTCAGGATAATGAAGCACTCATCCACCGTCTAGTGAACTGGGCAACGAATTCACCGGAACCCTTGCAGTGCTATGCGACTGGTCTGCTGGCTGCTGCTATGGAGGTGCAGGAGATTGCAACTAACTTTAGGTATGTTCAACTATATCCATCTATACTTCTATATTAATATTATAAAGAGGTACAGTTTGTGAGTTTGTTGTGAATTTGTTGCGTTTTAGGGGATAATCTCTGGATATACTGAACTAATTTACATGAAATTTGATAATAAGATAGTTTGAGATCCTGGGAAGGACATAGGATACTATTTATCCCAGAAATCATCCCTTAAGGGGGTGAAAATGGAGATGAAAATTTGTATTGGGAAGCAAGCTAGGGATGAACCCTAGAGAAGTGAGGGTGAGTCGCTAGTCTATCTATATAGATGGATATCTAGCAGAACCCTAATTCTTTTTTCTAAAATATAAAAAGACTAAACTTAACTTCTTATAACAACAGCTATCTGCCAGTGATAGTCAAATAACAAACAAACAGAAATAAAAAAAAAAATCTTGTCAGTACATATAAAACTTCATATTATGCATTCAGTAAAAAGCTGCTATTTTGACATTACAAACAGACACTTCAATTTTGTTTATCTGTATAGATGTCAAATATTCCCATAAATTTAAAGGAAGTATTATATATAATACTAGCGACTCACCCTCGCTTCGCTCGGGTTCGTCCCTAAAGTCTAGGTACCTTTTAACGATTAGTATAGAATAGGTAGACTATATACTGTTATATACATATAAAATATCCATGTCACAATGTTAGTTACGGTACTCCTCCGAAACGGCTTTACCGATTTTTACCAAATTTTATATGCGTATTCAGTAGGTCTGAGAATCGGCTACTATCTATTTTCCATACCCCTAAGTCATAAGGGTGGCCCACATTAGGGACGAACCCGAGCGGAGCGAGGGTGAGTCGCTAGTACATATATAATTTTTCTAACTTAAACTTGACGTTTTGTTGTAGATGGTAGGTCCGCTACTATTGAAAGTAATCCGAAGTGGTGATTCGCATAGAAAATAACCAGTTTTGAACTTTTCGATTTTCCAGCTGTTCTTATGGGTTTTTCCTAATTTTTGTAATATTTAAATCATCCCTGATATACCTCCAACAAAACAAAAAAAGAATTATTCAAATCGGTTCAGCCGTTTTTGAGTTTTAGCGAGACTAACGAACAGCAATTGATTTTTATATATATACAAGACTAGCATTTCCCGCGGCTCCGCCCGCGTTTCAGATGACCAAATTCTTAGGTTTTACATATTAGTATACTCTTACATTACAGTTTTTGCATTTTTTCTCAGAAATGAGATATTTTCCCCGCAATAAAAAGTATCCTATATGTTGACCCGGATAACCAGCTTTCACCATACCAAATTTCATCAAAATCCCTCTAGTGGTTTTTCCGTGATGCGGTAACAAACAGACAGACAGACAAAATTTCTAAAAACAATAGATTCGTCCTCTGCATCGATAATAATGTCTATTTCAATAAGATTTTCCAAAAAATATTTAATGTACAGATTCGGCTCAGTTAGAATTTTATTATATGTATAGATTATTTTGTTTAATGTTTCAGGGAACTAAACGCCATGTTGATACCGCTTATGCTCAAGAGGCTACATGAATTAAGAAATAAGAGTGTTGAAGACAAAGTAAGTACTTTTTCTATACTATACTACTAAACGAGCAAAATTCATACTTCTATACTAATATTATAAATGTGAGTGTGTTTGTTTGTTTGTCCTTCTTTCACGTCGAAACAGAGTGACGGATTGACTTGATTTTTTGTATTGAGATAGTTGGAGGGCTCTAGAGTGACATAGGCCTAGGCATTACAGCGGGAGATTATTTCATTCCCACGGGAAAACACGTTATAATACAACCTAAAAAATATTTATCATCAGAATTACTTAAAATTTGGTATTAATGATCTTCAATACAATTAAATAAATACGTGTAAGCATTTTTCGAAATTCATCCCATAATATACGTGATGAAAGTTGGTATGAAACCTCCCTTTTTAGAGGTTATTTTTGTAGTTTTTGCTGCGGGTTCTGTATATATATATATATTAATCTGTTTTTTTTTCAGCCAAATCAAAATCTAGTGACGCCGCCGAATCAGACGAGACATTTCGCGAGATTTGATAAGAAGAGGAACAATGATGTTAAAAGTAATGGTCCTACGCCGGATAAAAGAGGTATATTATCTGTACATATAAATAAAATTTAAGTGTCTGTTTGTAATGTCAACATAACAGCTTTTAACTAAATGCATATTTATGAATGGACTTGTAAGGAAAACATAATTTAAATTTTTTTTAGTCTGTTTGTTCCGGCTAATATCCGATCTTTGGTTATAGTGAATTAGTAGAAGGATGCATGAACGTTTCTTACTTATGTATGAATTAACCGGTTTATTTCGGTATCAAAACCGAATCCAACCTGTCTCTAAGAATAACCGTTAACCATTATTTTTTTTACTAAACCGTTCGTATTCATTAACCGGTTAACGAACGAGCGATGAATTAACCATTACATTACCGAAATAAACCGCATTTTTTTAAACCGGTTCCGTGTTTTTAAACCCTGGTCCTGGGTTCGAGTCCCACGTCGGGCTAAGTTTAGTTATTGAGTCTTTCTGCTTAGTAAGCCTCAGTAGCAACTCGGAGTTGGAAAGTTGGTGGTATGCGGGGCGCGGGTGGTGCCTCGGATGTTGACTTTTTGCGTGATACACACACAGACAAACAGATAAAAAATTTAATAACTATTATTTTGGGGTTATATTTTGTACACAATACGTTACGATTTCGCTTATTTTATTATATGTATAGATTTGTGATATAAATACAGATATGTTCTAATATAGATATCAAATTATTTTAGATCGCGACAAAGACGAAGGCGGGGGCGGTGACATGTTGGTTGACGAATCACCGCCTATCATGAAAGATCCAGAAACACCTGTTAAAAATTATAGTTGTATGTATTAATTTAAATGCAAAATGCTCTCTCTCTCTCTCTCCCTATTCTCTCTCTCTATCTCTTTCTTTATGCTGTTACATATACTAATAGTAATTATCTCAGAAAGCAGTTTTTACAACAACATACATTATGTCCACTCACTTGTAAAAAATTAGAAACATTTACTTAGTAAGTAGTAATTTTTAATACTAAATCTGTAGGCCCCTCTGTCTATATACCCGTTGTCCTGTAATGTCAGTGGCAGCGTCGTATATCTCCATCCCACTTACACACTATTGTAACAATATCTCCCGTCTCTATCGCAACGTCGCTAAAATACACACAAGTGTGTTAGCGTATATATCCATCTCTCCGTGATATACTTCAACATACCGTATATCGCCATCTCCTTCACATCTCACTACAACAGTATCTTACATCTCAACCAAACAGTGACGACATATAAAGCCGTTACTTCAACGTACCTATATCTCCATCCCTCTTCCACCTTACACTACAGCATCGGTCCTCTCTGTCGCACAGTGTACCAAACATTACTACACTGCACTCAACATACGGTATGTTTTCATCTCCCTCACACTTCACTAAAACGGTAAATATAACCAGCGGTTACTTCATCAGGGGGCGTCTATTGATTACGTGAGGCATTTAGATTTTCACCGTCATTTAAAAAAAAAACTGTAAAGTTAATACAACTATTGTTTTATTATTAATTTTATTTACTCCATATTTTTATTAAAAAAAAAAAATGAATTACTTAATCTAATGGTATTTTCTATAAGAGTTATGTAAGTTATAAATGTAAAATCCTAATCTTTACTAGTCTTAAGAAAACATAAGGAAATTGTTTTTTTTTTTTAATAAATGCAACACAATCGAACACAGATCAACTTATTTCCATTAAAAATGCGCATTTTGCAAAAAATCTCACGTGAGATTAGGGGAGGGTGTTGAGCAAAATCTCACGAAATCTCACCAAGGAGAGGGGGGGGGGGTCGCCTCACGTAAATCTCCATCTCCCTCTGACCTCGCACTAACAGCATCACCCTCTCTGTCGCACAGCGGCGGCGTCGCCCGAGCGCGCGGGGCTGATGTCGCCGCCGGCACGCCGGCCGCCGCCCGCGCCGCTCCCGCACGAGACCTCCTCCAACTCCAGCTGGGCGGAGATGGAGACTTACGTTATCGGTGAGTGGGCTTATAACTATATTTAATACTAGCGACACATCCTTGCTTCACTCGGGTTCACCTCTAGGAATAGAAAAAAAAACCTATCCCACGGTAACCGTACATCTTCCCGGGATAAAAAGTAGCCTATGTGCTATTCCACACTATAATCTATCTCTGTACCAAATTTCATCTAGAATGCATCTCGAAACGGCTGGACGGATTTTGATGAAATTTAGACTATGAGCTGGAATAACACATAGGATAATATTAGGAACAAAGAGACGCACGAGGACGTGTCGCTAGTTACATATACTTTGTTGCATACATATGTTATAGCATTTCACGCGGCTCCGCCCGCATTCAGATGACCAAAAACCAAATTCTTAGGTTTTACATATTAGTATACTCTTACATTGCAGTTTTTGTTTTTTTTTTATCAAAAATGAGATATTTAATAGTATCCTATATGTTGACCCGGATAACCAGTTATTATTATACCAAATTTCAACAAAATCCCTCCAGTCCTTTTTCTGTGATGTGGTAACAGACAGACAAAAATTCTAAAAACTATAGATTCGGCATCTGTATCGATAATAATGTCTATTTCAATAAGATTTTCCAAAAAATATTTAATGTGCAGATTCGGCTCAGTTACAATTTTATTATATGTATAGATTTTATTGTTTTGTTTTCAGGCAACATACAAATCCACCCACCGACGGACGCCACCAAGCAAATGTTGATACTTAGATATTTGACGCCTATGGGGGAGTATCAAGAGGTGAGAGAGATGTTTATATATGTATTATGTTTATCTATACTAATATTATAAATACCTAAGATTTTTGTTTTGTTTGTTTGCTTATACCGAATAAGCTCCGAACCGATTTGGATGGACATAGAATTGTTTTTATCCCGATAATCTTTTTTATGGGGGTGAATATGGGAATGAAAGTTTGTATGGGGAAGCAACCCGAGCGAAGCGAGGGTGAGTCTATAGTTACATATACGACGGTAGATGTAGTAAGTTCTTACTGTGTGGATCAAAATGACAGTATTTCAGATTAATATTTTTCATTTTTAAAAGTATATAGTAATAGTGTTGCTTAGTAATTTGCCTTGTTAAATTATAGCAAACTAAATTAAAATTATTATTCTTAATTAATTTTAACTTTTTAAATTACACATAGAACAATTATGTGGCTTAAATAATTAATATTATATTTTATATATATTTTCTTTATGGTTATAAATATAACTAGCGGACCCGACAGACGTTGTCCTGTCTACACGTCTTTAATTTGAAAATTTCAAACTTTTTTTAATAATGTTTTTGATGAAAATTATTATTCAAATTGTGAATCTAAACCATTCCCAGATCCCCTTGAACACACACAAAAAATTTCATCAAAATTGGTCCAGTCGTTTAGGAGGAGTTCAGTCACATACACACGCACACAAGAAATATATATATTAAGATGGCAACACTAAATATAGATTACTATTTAATATTTTTAAAATTGTAATAATTATATTAATAACAGCAAAAATTAAATAAATAATATTCCGTATTCAATTATAAAACTAAATAAAATTATACATATATAAATTATAAAAATGTTTAAAGTTAAAAAAAATTGTAAGGTATTTGGTGCAATTTTCATTTTGTTATTTGTAGGTAGACTATCTGTAATAACTATACCTTCGAGAAATGTAACACCTCAGTCTCTCCCGTGACCATGATTGCTGTAAAGCATTCGAAACGTTGGGAACCAAAAATCAAAATAAATCCGCGAAATAATCCGAAAAGATAGTTTTATTTAAAATTACATATACGATTTGCTAAAATGTCATGTACCATACATAAATAAAAGCAAACATTATAATTAAATACTTTCCCTTTTTTTCAAGTCGGTTGTTTTGATATAACTATATTTTTTTTCAGTTTCTATCGCACGTATTCGAGAAGAACGCCCTAGGGCTTATCCTAGGGTACCTGAACGTGCGCGAGTCACGTGACTCGAGGCTCGCCTTCGAAGCTCTCAAATATCTGGCCGCTTTGCTCTGCCATAAGAAGTTCTCTATCGACTTTATCAATATGGGTGGATTGCAGGTGATTGTGTTTTTTATTTAATATAGTGTTAGCACGTTTCTGCCACTTAGTATTGTGGTATGTATATTATGTTTGTTTTATATATCTATATTCTATACATATAATAAAATTCAAACTGAGTCGAATCTGTACATTAATTTATTTTTTTGGAAAATCATATTGAAATAGTCATTATTATCGATACAGAGGCCGAATCTATGGTTTTTAGAATTTTTGTCTGTCTGTCTGCATGTGCGTCTGTTTGTGACCGCATCACGAGAAAATCTCTGGACAGATTTTGATGAAATTTGATATGACGACAGCTGGTTATTCGGGTCAACATATAGGATACTTTTTACTGCGGGAAAATATCTCATCTCTGAGAAATCTATACTAAAACTGAAAACGTAACTAGGGACGAACCCGAGCGGGGCGAGGGTGAGTTGCTAGTGTATGTACTAATAATATTTGAATATTTCCAGAAGTTTCTAGAAGTTCCGCGACCATCGGTGGCGGCCACCGGCGTGTCCATATGTCTGTACTACCTCGCTTACTGTGAAGATGCCATGGAGAGAGTGTGTCTCATGCCCAGACACACTCTCGCCGATCTTGTCAAGTGAGTTGTTTATGTTTTTTTTAATTATTTTATCTACCTAGAATAACAACTAATTATAAGTCTAATGAGATGTAGACTATAGTTGCGCTGTCTGTAACAACCTTTGAGACGTCTAAAACCTTAGTCTCTCCCGTGACCATGATTGCTGTAAAGCATTCGAAACCTCGGGAATCAAAAATCTAAATATATCCGCGAAAATATCCGAAAAGATAGTTTTATTTAAAATGTTATATATTACAATATATTTTTTTTATATAATTCATAATATAAGTGCATTATTTATTTACAGATACGCGTTGTGGCTGTTAGAGTGTTCCCACGATTCTGGTCGCTGTCACGCGACCATGTTTTTTGGTCTTTCTTTTCAATTCCGTGTCATATTGGAGGAGTTTGATAATCAGGTATTTTGTTATTATTTAATTTTAAAATCACTCAATTTGTGTTTTTTTTATTTATATACAGTAAAATAAAATTTCAATATATAAAAATTCTTATGGTGGTCGCTTTTGATCTTAAAGAATTTATTTATTAAATATAATATAATATGTCATAATATGTTGGGACATTAACACACAGCACCATCTAGTTTCATGGTAAGCTACAAGGTCTGTGCTATGGATAACAGATAGTTGGTACTCTACACATATATGACTGGTGTAGAAACATTCGTGCTTATCACACAAATAAATGCCCTCAGCGGGACTCGAACCCGCGACCGCTGGCACAGCCAGTAGGATCACTACAAACTGAGCCAAAAGTGTCATTGAATGGCGTTGCGTTTCAATTAATTTGAATTTCTCACCTATATTTGCACTTCTTAATAATTATTTTCTTAATCAAAAAGAAATTACATAAAAAATATTGACATAGGTTTAATTCAAAACCAATAAAGATTATAAAAAAAAAACACCTTTATTTAAATCAAACACATATTCCCTATTAGCAAACATTATGTATAAGCTTATATATCCTTCGTTTGTTTTCCAGGATGGTCTGAGAAAACTGTACAACGTGATATCCACTCTCCCGATCCTCGGTTCTGATGAGGAGGAGTCCAGGGTGTCTGACGACGAGACCTGCGCCGCCAGACAGATAGTGCGGCATGTCTGTGTCGCGCTCAGACGGTGAGTGACTCGAGAATCGAACCCGGGCTTTTCATGTTTTAGCAAGAGTCTTTTGTTTTCAATAATTAAAAAGTAATAACATTATAAAAAACTAGCGGATCATCACCCTTGCTTCGCTCGGGTTCGTGTCTAGAAAATGTAATACAAATTATTCCACTGGAACTGTACATTTTTGTGGGATAAAAAGTAGCCTATGTGTTATTCCAGACTATATCTCTGTGCCAAATTTTATCCAGATCCGTTCAGCCGTTCTGGCATGAAAGAGTAACAAACATCCTTACATACTAACAAACTTTCACATTTATAATATTAAATAAAAAATAATACGAATTTGTAACAGATATTGAAAACTTGTGTAATATTTATTACAGATATTGAATACTTATGTAATATTTATTACAGATATTTCGAAGCCCATCTGAGGATACGAGCGGCTCAAGTAGCTCGGCAACAGGGTGACAACATGCCAGAACCACCACCTTATAAAGTAAGTATATTTCTGTTTTGATAACCCGTTTTTATGTTTTTTTTTCTGTTTACACTTTATAGTATTATTCTGAAAATATTTGAATAATTATTTTTTTAGGTTTGAACGAATAGTTGATATTTTGATAAGATTATTTTTCAGTAATTTTTTTAGGTTGTAGTTTCGTTTTTTTTTATTTCCAACGTTTCGAATGCTTTACACATGTAACATATGACAATGACCAGATTAGACTGAAGTTTTTGACGTTTGTATTTCTATTTTTTTCATGTGCGCATCATTTCCAACGTGATTAACACTTATCTTACGGTGAAGAGACAAGCTTATTAGGTTTCGAAAGACATGTAAAGTCCTCCAACCCGTACTTGACCCGCTTGCTGGACTATGACCCCTCATATTGAAGGCCCAATGCCCAGCAGTGGGGAGTTGCAAACGACGTGAAATACAATTATTATTCTTATTCCAGGCGTCAAAATCATCAGCAGAAGAGATACAAGAGCAAATTGAAATAGTTCAAGGAGCAGCGTGGGCAAGATGGCCGCCGGTCGACGAGCTGCTGGAGCTGGGCGGAGTCGCCCTACTGCTGCAGGTGGTGGGGTACGCGTACGACTGGAATTTCAACGGCAGGTAATACTTTCTTAGAATAAAATACATATAATGAAATTGTAACTAAGCCGAATCTGTACATTATAATATTTTCCAAATATTTTTTGGAAAATATTATTGAAATAGACTTTATGGTCGATACAGAGGCCAAATTTTTGTCTGTTTGTCTGTCTCTTACCGCATTACGGAAAACCCACTGGGCAGATTTTAATGAAATTTGGTATGATGATAACTGGTTATCCGGGTCAACATATACGATACTTTTAACTGCGGGAAAATATCTCATCTCTAAGAAATGTATACTAAACGTTAATTAATATTTTCAATTTTCTTTATGGTTATACATATAAAAATAGCAACACAAAATAATATTATTAATTAGTAGTAGTAAGTTTTATTTGTAATTTTAATAATTATCATAACAGCAGTTAAAATAGAATAAATTATATTGCCATATTAAATTATAAGAGTTATTAAAAAAAATTAAATGTTTACAGTTAAAACTGACACATATTGTAAAGTAAAGTTGATACACTACACATATATAACTTTAAATACATACATATTATAAATATAAATACCCATGACTGGAGTACAAATATTCGTGTTCATAACACAAATGAAGCCCCCAGCGGGAACCGAACTCGCGACCGCTGGCACAGCAAGTAGGCTCACTACAAACCGAGCCAACCGTGTCGTGTTTTTAACCAATATTAAAAATAATGTATGTATGTATATTGTTTCTACCACAGAGCAGAAACGGTCCGCTCAGCGTTAGACGTGGTGTCGGTGTGCTGCGTCGCGCCTCGAGTGCAGCTGCTTCTCACCGAGATGATATACACCCGCGACGCTGACCACACCACCGGCGTCCATATTGTTCTAGGTGAGTTTATTTTATTAACTAAATAGAGTTTTGGATTTATCTATACATCTATACAGATAAATAAAATTGAAGTGTCTGTTTGTAATGTAAAAATAACACCGTTTTACTAAATGCATATGAAATTATATACGGTACTTATAAGAAAAACACATTTTTTTATTTTTGTCTGTATGTCTATCTGTTTGTTCCGGATAGTCTCTGAAACGGCTAGACTGATTTTGACGGGACTTCCAGTGGAAGATAGCTGATGTTATAGGGAGTAATATAGGCTACTTTTATTTTAGAAAAAGAATTAAGGTTCCGCTTGTTGGGTGTAAGGTGTTTGATAGTCGATTGAAATCTACACAGATGATGAATTTCTGATGTTGCTTTAACAACAAATATAAAAAAAGAAAAACAGAATAAAATAAATATTTAAGTAGGCTCCCATACAACAGACATGATTTTTTCTGCCGTTTTTGTAGTTAATGATACGGAACCCTTCGTGCGCGAGTTCGACTCGCACTTTGCCAGGTTTTTTTTTTAATTTTACTCGCACTTTGCCAGGTTTTTTTTTTAATTTTAAAATTTAAAGAATTATCCCTATTTTGCCTCGTTTCGTAATTTTTAATTTAACAAAACGATTAATTATTTAATCTGATGTGTTTTAATATTTATAGTAATACTTAATTATATAGATAATTTTTTTTTGTTTAAATATTTTTTCAGGTGCCGCAGATGGCGATATAGTCCCAGAGCCGGAGGTGCAAAAGGCGGCCCTTAACGTTCTAGTTAACTGCGTTTGCGCACCTGTACACAGGGTAATTGTATTATACTAGCGACTCACCCTCGCTTCGCTCGGTTTCGTCCCTAGGTTGATTCCGCATACTTCATCACCATTTTCACCCTTTTAATGGATGATTTCCGGGATAAAAAGTATCCTATATCCTTTCCAGGGTCTCAAACTATCTTCTTACCAAATTTCATCTAAATCGGTTCAGTAGATCCAGAGATTACCCCCTACAATGTCACAAACTCACAAACTTTACCTCTTTATAATATTAGTATAGACTAGCTGTGCCCCGCGGTTTTACCCGCATTAAATTTGATTATATACATCAGTTTTACAATAATGTATGGAAGTCTGCCCGATTTTTTGATATTTTTAATTAATGCTCCGCTCCCTTGTTCAGTAGCATGATTATATATAGCCTTCCTTAACGAACGGGCTATCTAATGCAAAAAGAATTTTTCAAATCGGATGAGTAGTTTCTGAGTTAAGCGCGTTCAATCAAACAAACAAACGCTATCTCTTTATAATATTAGTATAGATTTATATTTGACTTGTGATATGCTTTGGGCTTTATGAACAGTGGTAGTCCAGTGGTAATAGCTTTGGAAACCGAGTGAAGCAGGTTCGAATCCCGTTCACACGCTTCTGATATTCTCATGTGTTTATGTATATTAATATTATCTGTATAAATTAATTTTGTTTTTATTTCAATTTATTTTATTTCAGGCGGGAACGTCTACATCGCGTTTTTCATTAACTGGATCTACTAAAAAGAAGACCACAGTAAAATCGTATGAAGACGTCATACAGAAGGTTTGGGAGAGTGTGCGGACTAACAATGGTATTATGGTATGTTTCGTTTTTTTTTTAAATTAATAATTATACGAATTTATATCTGTCAAGATTATTTTTTATAGTTTTGGTAATTCTAAACGTTTTTATGCATAGGCAGGGCTGTTTAGTGAAAGAAAATGATCGCTCAAACTTTATTTGATCATGTTTGAGACCACGAATTAAAAAACAACATTAATTGAAAAAAAACACGAAAGTCGATTCAAAATTGGTTGTTGAGTTGGATGAAATTTAATGTACAGATAGGTTATAAGCTGGAGGAACAAATAGAGTACAAAGTACGCACTCTAATTAAACGATGGTAAGTCCCTACTCGGTTAAATGTCGTATAATACATACATACACGCTCACATACACACACACACATACTTAAATATAATACAGCTTCTGTTTTAGAAGTCGGTAAAGGTATAAGCAACAATCCCGTTCCCATTACAAATATAAAACAAGCCGCGTGCTGGTGCCGCCAGGTGCTGCTGTCGCTGATGATGGTGAAGTCGCCCATCACGGACGCGGACCGGCTGCGCGGGCTGGCGTGCCGCGCGCTGGCGGGCCTGGCGCGCTGCCCCACCGTGCGCCAGATCATCTCCAAGCTGCCGCTCTTCACCACCTCGCATCTGCAAGGTACGCCACCACCACCACTACCACCACCACCAACACTACCACCAACGACATGTTATTCTCACTTATCTCCAATCTATCGCATTTAATCAATTTTATATTATTATTATTATTTATTGATATAATTTTTATACATATAAAAGTGATAATGATTTCTCTATCTAGACCCTGCGCTAGTTAAAAACTGTGTTACAGGAGCCAAAAAATCACACTTAAAACACCACCACCACCACCACCACCAAGGTGTCATTCTCACTTATCTTCATTCTACCGCTTTTAACAACTGTAACCTGCAGGGTACACTGCACTAGGACCACTAAATCACCACCACCAACAAGATGCCATTGAAGTATAAAATGTTTATACATTAAGTATAATATAATATAGCATTAGTATAGCGATAGTATAGCATTAAGTCCACTGTAAGCCATACTTTAGTAATGTATCATCAATCACTCATGTATCATCCATATATGGTAGACCCACTAAGCTAAATTCATTATAAGTATACTTATGATATTCTGTTTATTAAATATGTCTCCAAACCAAAAAGACGTCCCTCTCTGGAACCTCTAAGACATACCACATTTGACCATTCTCACTTATCTCCGATCTATACTTTTTAACAATTTCTCATTTACTAAGAATACGGGTAGTTTTTTTTTTACTGTAAAGTAAACGTCCCGCTGAGTTTCTTCCAAAAGTTCTTCTCAGGTCTGAGGCTTTTTCTTTTACAACTAATGTCAGACTTATAAGGTTTACTAACAAATATGATAATTAAATTTTGCTAATACTATAAATGTGATAGTTTTAAATGTATGTTTGGATGTTTGTTTCTCAATCACGTCAGAACGGCTGAACGGATCTGGATGAAGTTTGTCACATAGATAGATTATAGTGTGGATTTAGCACATAGGTTATTTTTATCCCGGAAAGATACGGTTTCCGTGGGATAGATTTAGTTTTATTTTTCTAGAGGCGAACCCGAGCGAAGCCAACGTGAGCTGCTAATACTAAATATATGTACATATATTTTTTATTTTCAACAGTTCTAATGAGGGACCCAATTTTACAAGAAAAAAGACAAGAACACGTTATGTTTCAAAAGTACGCATTGGAGTTGCTCGAACGCGTGTCCGGGAAGAGTAAGAGAATGGGCGCCGAGTTCGAGACCTCCCTCGCGAATATACACAGGGTATGTATATAATATTTATTCTCGCGGAACCCTAATTATTAATCTAATCACAGCGCCATCTAGTTCCATAGTAAGCTACGAGGCTTGTGTTATGGATACCAAATAGTCGATACAGTCATATATAATTCTAAATACATACATATAATAAATATAAACACTAGACTGATTCAAAAAAACCGACTATTTTTTTTTTTTTTAATATTGAAAATATTGTCAGAAATGACGAAAAAAAAATCCTGTGAAAGTTAGAGCTCTTAATATTAATATTAAGAGGTGCCGAGTGGAAAATTTCGATTTCCCATTTGATTAACGTGGGAAAATTTTTTTTCTTACTTTGGAATTCTGTAGCTCTTTAACAAGTCATCGGATTGGTTGAGTCAGAACATATTCTTGTAGAGAATTGAACGCTCTACAAAAAAGGTCTCTTATGATTTTTTGATATATTTACTTTTTCAAAAGTTATTCAACCCTAAAGATGAATTGATTCAAAATTTTTACATTTTTCTAATTTTCCGACTCAACCATCAACTTTATGAGAAAATTTAATAGGACTTTTTTGTAAAACATTCAATTTCCTATAACTTATCTCTCAAAAAATTAAAAATTTTTTTACAGATCGTAAGTTATTTGCAAAAAACTAAAAATTTTTTTAAAAAGTTGTCATTTTTATTCTTAAAATTTATCATGTTAAACAAATAAAGTTTTAACCTAAAAATTGAATGTTTATTACAATTTAATCAATAAATGGAAAAGCTTTTTTTTTTAACAAATAATGCTGATTTATGTTATTCGATTTTTGGAAATCATTTCAAGGTCAAGACGAACAATTCTCAAAAGCAAATAAAAACATTTTTTATCTATTTTATATTTAATATGACTCTACTATCCATATCAATTAAAAATCCTTTCAAGCTCGCCCCCCTCTACCTATATTTGATATACTTCAACGCTGTTGTGATTCCAAGAAAAATCTAAAAATGAAGATCAACTACAATACTTATTGCTAATTATTAGTGAATACAGAAAAAAAGTGCCCAATTGTAATAGATTTTTTTTAGTTTAACGATATAAATTGCTTTGATTATAATAAACATTCAATTTTTAGGTTAAAACTTTATTTGTTTAACATGATAATTAATTTTAAGTATAAAAATGACAACTTTTTAAAAAAAATTTTAGTTTTTTGCAAATAACTTACGATCTGTAAAAAAAATTTTAATTTTTTGAGAGATAAGTTATAGGAAATTGAATGTTTTACAAAAAAGTCCTATTAAATTTTCTCATAAAGTTGATGGTTGCGTCGGAAAATTAGAAAAATGTAAAAATTTTGAATCAATTCATCTTTAGGGTTGAATAACTTTTGAAAAAGTAAATATATCAAAAAATCATAAGAGACCTTTTTTGTAGAGCGTTCAATTCTCTACAAGAATATGTTCTGACTCAACCAATCCGATGACTTGTTAAAGAGCTACAGAATTCCAAAGTAAGAAAAAAAAAATTTCCCACGTTAATCAAATGGGAAATCGAAATTTTCCACTCGGCACCTCTTAATATTAATATTAAGAGCTCTAACTTTCACAGGATTTTTTTTTCGTCATTTCTGACAATATTTTCAATATTAAAAAAAAAAAAAAAAATAGTCTGTTTTTTTGAATCAGTCTAATAAACACCAATGACTGGAGTACAAACATTCGTGCTCATCACATAAATCCCACCAGCGAGACTCGAACCCGCGACCGTCGGCACAGCAAGCGGGGTCAATACAAGGTAACAATGTGTGTCGGTGTACGCAGGCGAACGTGGTGGCGCAGACGCGCATCACGTACAACGAGCGGCAGCTGCTGACGCTGGTGGCGGAGCACCTGCGCGCGCGCGGCTTCCGCGACGCCGCCGCCGCGCTGCGCCGCGACGCGCGCCTGCCCGCGCCCGCGCCCGCGCCGCCGCCGCCGCCCGTCTACACGCCCGCCACGCCCTCCAGGGTGAGTCGCCGTTCGATGTGGCGCTTCGAACTTCTTTACGCACTCTTTAATAAAAAAATTTTTTTAGCTTGGGGCGGTTAATTTTTGAAATTAATAGAAAAAAAATCTCAACATTTTTTGAGATGGCCCATTGATTTTAAAATATTTTTTTTTGTTTGAATGGTTTTTTTTTTCGAGTGATCGTCGTTGAAAACATTCAAGAATTAATGTGTGTGTGTGTGCACGTGTGTGTTAAAACGGAAACTTTCTACTAAGAAATTTCTTACTCAGCTAGTAGGTATATAATTTGACTAATATTATAAATGCGATAGTTTGTGAGAATGTATGTATGTCTGAATGAATAGATGTATGGATGTTTGTTACTCTTTCACGCAAAAACTACTGAATGGATTTTAATAAAACTTCACAATAATATATAGCTCATACAATATGCTCATAGGCTACTCTTTATCCCGGAAAAATGTATGGTTCCCGTGGGATAGATTTGTTTTTTCTAGAGGCGAACCCGAGCGAAACAAGGGTCTATAGCCACTAATTGTATACTGTTGAATTTTTCTTGATCTCATCTCAGCAGAACTGCCTTCCGAGCCGATGGTAGCTTCCACACGGACTGATTACACTGACAATTTTATATAAATTTAAAATATAAAATTTACGATACAAAAGTGCTTGTAAGAGTCTATTTGAATAAACTATAGTTTAATATGTTTTATATATATAACTAGCGACTCACCGTCGCTTCGCTCGAGTTCGTCCTTAGGTACGTTTTATTTTCTTTGAGCGGAACCCTAATGCCTTTTCTAAAATAAAGGTAGCCTATGTTACTCCCTATAACATCAGCTATCTTCCAGTGATAGTCCCGTCAAAATCAGTCCAGCCGTTTCAAAGATTATTCGGAACAAACAGACAGACAAAATTTTCAAAAAATATGTGTTTTTCTTATTATCACCATATACAATTTCATATGTTTATGTTATTTTAAAATTACTGACAGACACTTCAATTTTATTTTTCTGTATAGATATATGTATGTAAAGAAAACTACTTCATATACTAGTGCTTTTCATAAGATTATATTTATTACGTAAATACTTTTTAAATTCATTCCAAATTTACTTTTAATTTTTTTATTTAAATAAATTTTATTTTTTGGCATTTAATAGAATAATTATTGATTGCTATATGATAAAATTACAAATTTTCCTTATTATAATATATGTTGAGATATAAAAAGATTTGAAATAGAGGCTTGAAATGTAGTTTCTATTATTGTTTCAGAAACGCAATTTACTCTTTATTTTTAAATAAAAGAGTAATCTATATAAATATATGTATATATATATATATATATATATATATATATATATATATATATATATAATGAAATTGTAACTGAGCCGAATCTGTACATTAAATATTATTTGGAAAATCTTATTGTACTAAACATTATTATCGATACAGAGGCCGAATCTATAGTTTTTAGAATTTTTGTCTGTCTGTCTGTCTGTTACCGCATCACAGAAAAACCACTGGAGGGATTTGGATGAAATTTGGTATGGTGATAGCTGGTTATCCAGGTCAACATGTAGGATACTTTTTACCGCTGGAAACTATCTTATTTCTAAGAAAAAATACAAAAACTGTAATATAAGAGTATTTCAATATGTAAAACTTAAGAATTTGGTTTTTGGTTATCTGAAAATGACCAAGTTATGCTAGTGTCATTATATGTATATAACTATATATATATATATATCCCCAGCCGCGTCTGTCCGTGTCGCGCACGAGCAGCTGCGGCTCGCTGCACCGCGATAGCCTCGAGCACGCCCACACCGCGCACGACGACAGCCCCATGCCGTCCATCATCAAACTTAGGTAAATACACCTTTTTTTATGTCGGGCAATACATTTACGCATATCACGTGTAACTGTAGCTAATGACACGTAGAACCTTGTAGTATTAATAACTAAGTAAGTACCAAAATTGTAACATAGAACCTCGTAACAGTGAGCCAACGAATAGTGTTGCAATTATAATATTTATTTATCATAATGCCGGTCCCCGCAGGAAGGTGCAGCCGGCGCACTCGCCGCAGCCGGCGGGCGCGGCGGGCGGGGAGCGGCGCTCGCTGCAGAAGCAGCTGAGCGCGGCGGGCGGCGAGCGCGCGGCGTCGCCCCCGCGCGTGTCGCTGCACTCCATCATCACCGAGTACCTCTACAACCAGCACGCGCTCTGCAAGAACCCGGTGGTCACGTGTCCACAGTTCAATCTGTTCGAGTGAGTACTAGCGGCTCGAGTTCGTCCCTAGCTTGATTCCTCGTATAAACTTTCATCCCCGTTTTTACCCCCATAAGGGATGATTTCCGAGATGAAAAGTAGTCTGGAATAGCACCTAAGCTACTTTTAATCCCGGAAAAATGTAGTTCCCGTGGGATACATTTGTTCTTGTTTTTTATTAGGAATATATCCGAGTGAAGTGAATGTTAGTCACTAGTACTATATAAATTGTACTTTATTATGGAAATAAATGTAATCATTAATTACGTTTTAACGTTTAGTATAGATTTCTCAGAGATGAGATATTTTCCCGCAATAAAAAGTATCCTATAAGTTGACCCGGATAACCAGATATTATCATATCTCTGTCATCATCATCGAAATTTCATCAAAAATCTTGCAGTGGAAGTTGTAGGGGGTAATCTCTAGATCTACTGAACCGATTTAGATGAAATTTGGTAAGAAGATAGTTTGAGACCCCGGGAAGGACATAGGATTATTTTATCCCGGAAATCATCCTTTAAGGGGATAATAATGGGGATGAAAGTTTGTATGGGGAATTAACTTAGAGACGAACCCTAGCGATGCGAGGGTGAATAACTAGTATACCACAAAAATTCATATATGTGTGTGTGTCTGTCTCTTTCGCTCTTTCGCTCTCTTTCTCCCTCTCTCTCGTGCGTGACATGCGTGTGCGTGTGTGCCCGCAGGCCGCACAAGTGCCCGGAGCCGGCGCCGCCCACGCTGGCGGCGCTGCAGGCGCGCGCCGAGCCCGCGTCGCTGCTGGCGCGCGTGGTGCGCCGCGAGCTGGGCGGGGGCGCGCCGCGCCGCGCGCACGCGCGCCTCGCGCACTCGCACTTCGCGCACGTGCGCACGCTGCGCCTGCAGGACGACGACGCCTACTTCACCCACACTATATTTCACGTGAGATGCTTTCTGTTGTTTCTATATCTAATCATCGATCGGTCTGGTATTATTTCAGTAAGAAACAGCAAAAAAAAAGAACTGGCGAAGAAAAGTCAGCGGGACAAAAATTGCCTTGGTCCTTATTTTTTAAATCAACCAATACTTTTTGTGCTGTACACTAGATTTTTCTACTAGTGACGCCGTACTGGTGACCTTACAGATGCGTAGTTATTATAAACGGTCCATTGGAGATAAAAAAAATAATGAAAAAAGTACTAGATACACAATCAACGACAAAAATGTCCTCACTGTTACTGAAACTTTCTTAAAAGACATACTCAATAACGCTTGACCCAACCCAATACTCGAACCCTGGACCTCCAGATGTGCAGGATACCAGTTTTTTACAGGAGATGATTTAAGATACACAATGTATTTGCCAATCATGAACTGATTTTCATGATTGTTATTTGTTTTTTCATTAATAAATTATATTATAAAATAAATAAAACAGCTCATTTTAGTAATGGGTTAACAGTGATGATCATTAAAACTTATATTATTATTATTAATTAATTAAAATTTGTTTTGATCGCGTAAGTCCTTAGGACTATTGGGTCTCATCACGACCAAAGCAAAATTAGTTGAAATAAATGTCAATAGATGTCGTTACATGTGTCGATTTATTATTAACTAGGTACGTTTTAACGGTTAGTATGAAATACAAATCTTTGAATTTCTCGGCTTTTCTGTACTATAATATTCATGTATTATACATATACACCTTCATCTTGAATCACTCTATCTATTGCTGAAAACTGCATTAAAATCCGTTGAGTAGTTTAAAAGATCTAAGCGAACAGACAGCGGAAGTGACTTCATTTTATACTATATAAAGAAGTTGTCTTAAATTAACAAAATATTAAAACAAAAAAAAAACTCAGAAAAGTGTATTATAGGTTTTAAATAATATTCCAAGTGAAGGGAAATCAAATAGTAAGCTCGTAAATCAAATTTGCGTAATTTTACTGATTATTGAAATATCAGCAATCAGATAATGGGTTTGTAGTGTGTGTTCACAGATGGCGCTTTTACTTTTTACGAATTATACATCATGGTTAAAAATTGTTAAAATCACTGGGATTTTTTATTCAAATGCAGAATGAAATTTACAATATTTACTATACGTTAGTCTGCGCATATTTATAAAATAAAACAGTGTAACTATTTACGAATCAACGACATCTATTATCTATTCAAGCAAACAAAAATAGTCCGAAGAATAGCCCGAATTAGCGCTGTCCAATTTCTTTGTTTGTGATGAGGCGTCTGTACCTAGTATAGTATTATGTGATCTGTGTTAAGAGTTAGGTGCATTTTGAAATTATAATATTGTACACATTTTAGTAAATTTTACTACCTATTTACAATATCATAAGAACTGACGACACATTTGGCTCAGTTTGTTTGTGACCCTACTTGCTGTGCCAGCGGTTCGAGTCCCGCTGGGGGCATTCATTTCTGTGATGAGCATGAATGTTTGTACTCCAGCCATGGTTGTTTATATTTATATGTATGTTTATATTTAAAGTTCTATCTATCTGGTATCCATAACACAGACCTCGTAGCTTACCATCGAACTAGATAGTGCTGTGTGTTAATGCCCCAAAAAAAAATTTTTTTTCTCAGTAATAATAACACTAAGATAATGATTTCTCTTATATTCCAGCCGACTCAACAACAATTATTGACAGCAACTTCATCAGGTGACATCAGAATATTCAATCTCTTCACCGGAATAGAAGAAAGCTCGTACCAAGTGCATGAATCTTATATATATCATATGCAGGTAAAATTAGCAAAATTACTATATATTCAAAACAAATCAAAATATACTCTATTCAAATAGACTTACAAGTGTTTTTCGATTGTCACTTTTGATATTTTTTAAATTTAAATTAAATGTCAGTGTGGTCCGTAAGGAAGCTACCACCGGTTCGGAAAGCAGTTCTGCTGAGAAGAGGTGGCGAGAAACTCAACAGTTGCACTCTTAAAATAATATTTTTAACTAGCGACTCACCCTTCGGGTTCATCCCTTGTTACGTTTTAAGGTTTAAGTATAGATTTCTCAGAGATGAGATATTTTCTCGCAGTAAAAAGTATCTTATATGTTAACCCGGATAATCAGCTATCACCATACCAAATTTCATCCAAACCCTACAGTGGTTTTTCTGTGATGCGGTCACAGACAGACGGACAGACAAAATTTCTAAAAACTATAAATTCGGCCTCTGTATCGATAATAATGTCTTATTTCAATAAGATTTTCCAAAAAGTATTTAATGTACAGATTCGACTCAGAGTTTTTTTATAATATGTATAGACTGGGTAGGTTCTGCCTTATAAAAGGTCAAGTAGAGTTCTAATTTAACAGATTGCTACCGTTAGGTGACCTTAATTATTGTTCCGAAAAGGAATGAAATACACATTCCAAAAAGGTTTAAGAAATTACTAGAACTTTTATTTTAAAACTATCACAAATATCTATATTTCATTATGTTATTATATATAATATTATATGTATAATTTTGCAGGCAAGCAGAGACGGGCTGTTGTTGCTAGCATCGTCTACTACGTCATGGCGGACGACCTCGGCCTTATGGAACATGAAGGAGTTTGAACAACTGTTAGTATTTTTAGCTTTTATATAGCCCAGTGGTAACGTGGTCGCTTGAGAAATTTAATGGAGCGGGTTTAAATCCCGTGTATCGCACCTCTGATATTCTCATGTGCGAATCATTTCCAACTTGATTACCACTTGCCTTACGGTGAAGAAAAACATCGCGAGGAAACCTGCATATATATTTTAAACTAGATAGCAGAATAATCGCTCGCCCATATATAAATTCCAGGTTCCAGCTAGATAACGAAGAGTACGTGGAGTTCTCAAAGATGTCGGACGAGCGTATAATAGGCACTAAGGGTGAGACGGCGAGCGTGTTCGACACCCGCACGGGCGCGGAGCTGCTCACCCTCACCCCCGCCATCAGCAACCAGTACGCGAAGAACCGTGCCACGTTCAACCCTACAGATGAGCTGGTGCTGTCGGGTGAGTTACACCCGTTGCACCCGTAACACCCGTTTCACCCGTGGGATGGGAAGGAGTGGGGTCACATCTACGCCTTGATATCACACAGCTGAATGTCTTTCTATAATGTTCTATCTCGCTCTTTTTTTTTTAAATTTACTCTCTCTTTCTTTGTCTTTCAATCAACGGACGTACGAGCTCGCGGGTCAGTCTTTAATTAGTTTTCTCACAATAATTTTAAAATATTTAAAATTGAAATTCATTAAGCATTGGTAGCCCAGTGGTAACGCGCTCGCTTGTGAAACCGAGTGAAGCGTGTTGAAATCCCGGGTCTCGCAACTCTGATATTTTCATGTGCGAATCATTTCCAACATGATTATCACTTATCTCACGGTGAAGGAAAACGTGAGGAAACCTGCATGTCTGAGAGAACCTAGCAAGTTTTCAAAAGACATGCTCAGTCCGCCCGCACTTGGCCAGCGTGGTGGACTATGGCCTGATCCCCCTCATATTGAAGGGAAGCCTACACTCAGTTAAAAAAAGGATTCAAAACACACGCAAAATTTATTATATCATGTTGTTGAAATCGGTTAAATATTTGGATTTTATTATGAAAAGTTATGTTAATTATATATATATTTTTTTAGATGGCGTGCTCTGGGACGTGAATACGGGGAAAGAAATACATAAGTTTGACAAACTGAATCAGACGCATAGCGGCGTGTTCCATCCCAATGGGCTTGAGGTGCGATTCACGTGATTGGCGTGATTTTTAATCTATACATATAATAAAATTGTTATTAAGTCGAATCTGTACATTAAATATTTTTTAGAAAATCTTATTGAAATAGTCATTATTATCGATACCAAGAGGCCAAATCTACAGTTTTTAGAATTTTTGTCTGTCTGTCTGTTACCGCATCACAGAAAAACCACTGGAGGGATTTTGATGAAATTTGGTATGATGATAACTGGTTATCTGGGTCCAACATATAGGATACTTTTTATTGCGGGAAAATATCTCATTTCTGAGAAAAAATACAAAAACTGGTTAGAATAAAACCACGATGATAGTATATACATTATACACATTAAAATGAAATTGGTATATGTAAGAATATGTATACTAATATGTAAAACCTAAGAATTTGGTTTTTAGTCATCTGAACGCGGGCGGAGCCGCGGGCAATGCTAGTCTTCAATAAAATAAACCTGTTTTAGCATTTTTCGACATTATCCTATTATGGGGTTATAATAGGATATGAAAGTTTCTACAAAACCGACCTTTTTAGAGTTTTTTGTTTGTAGTTCAGCGGGTTTTAGTATAAATTAACAAATTTATTTATTCTTTTTAACTATAATCTTGTCAAACTAAATCCGTGTCCCGACTGATCATATAAAATTATATATGCCAATCGGGAGCAACGCTGTGATTGAAAGTTTAGGTTTTTTTTTAATTCATTTTATTTTTCAGGTGATTTCGAATACAGAAGTGTGGGACCTGAGGACGTTCCACTTGCTTCGGACAGTGCCTTCGTTAGATAAGTCAGAGGTACGAGATGTATACATACGTACATACATACATACATACATACATACATACATACATACATACATATAAGTTTAGTACATATATACAGCGTTGCTGTTTTACACATAACTTTAATCTATACGTATAATAAAACTGTAGAAGTCGAATTTCCGTACATCGAAAAAAATGCTAAAAACCCAGTCAGGGGGATTTCAGAAGAGAAATAGACCAAATCCAGATATTTTTCAATTTTTTTGTTTCTCTGTCTGTTTTTCTGTTTGTTCGGGATAATCTCCGAAACTGTTGGACTGATTTAAATGAAATTTTGCATGGTGGTACCTTATATCTCCGGTCATCATTTTAGATACTTTTCATCCCGGAAAATAAAAAAGTTCCCGTGGGATAGGTAAAAAACTATAGTATCTTATGCAGCTTAGTACACAAAAACTACTGATTGGAAAAATACAAAGTATTAATTCTTTTTGTCGACGTTCCATAATTGTGTTTACCGAAAATGATATTTGAAATAATAAATCAACCGCGTTAGAGTATTTAACATTAAAAATTAAAAAATATATATGTAGTTTTGTCTATGCACAGCAACATAAGATAAAAAAATGTCTTTTTTAAAAAAAAAACCCAAAAAATCTTAGAAACGGTGAAACTTTTACTGAAGTAATTTTTTTAATATGTTGTAGGTCAGCCTTTCGTCTACCTTCCTCTTTTTTTTTGTCGTGCTATTTACCGGACATCCTGTATATGGATATATTAATATGGATGATTTGTTTCAGGTAATTTTCAACCCAACTTGTAGTGCTATATACGCGGTGTGCTCGGACCAAGACTCAGAAGAAAGAAGCCAGTTCGATACCAGCTTCAAGACTCTCGACCCCTACGACTACTCGAGTATAGGTGAGTATTATTATTACATAGCTTGATTCCCCATACAAACTTTTATCCCCTTAAGAGATGATTTCCGGGATAAAAAGTGTCCTATGTCCTTCCTATGGTCTCAAACTATCTTCTTACCAAATTTCATCTAAATCGGTTCAGTAGATCCAGAGATTACCCCCTACAATGTCACAATCTCACAAACTCACAAACTTTACTTCTTTATAATATTAGTATAGATTATAGATTATGTACGTTTATTTGTATCTCTTCACATTTCACGGATTTTTTCTTTTTTTTTTTAATATTTAGAATTAAAATTAACAAATATGTGTTAGGGACTTTGGTGGCAATTTTTGTATTTTTGAAATTATTTTGTAAAATTGTTGGTAGGCACTGTCTGTAACAAGTACAGACCTTTGAGACGTCTAAAACCTTAATATCTCCCGTGACCATGTGCGCTGTGAAGCATTCGAAACGTCGGGAACCAAAAATCTATATAAATCCGCGAAAAAATCCGCAAAGATGGTTATGTTTAAAGTGCCTAGTTTTTGTGACGTCACATTATGGACTGAAAATTTGAAAAAATAATAGAGCGCGGAGAGCGCTGCGGTCGATATGTCCCAAGAGGGAGGCAGAAATTCACGCTGATTTATCTGTCATTTTTATCACTAACTTCACGCTACTAGCATACAGCTAAATTCACGTTGTAAATACGTAAATCAGCGCGATTCGTGGCAATTTTTGGTACTATAACTCTTTAAAAATATTTGCCGACGGGTTTCTCATATAAAACTAAAAGCACAAACAGATCTATCCTACGGGAACTGTTTATTTTTCCGGGATAAAAAGTTGACCGGCAATACAAGGTATCAGCAGGTCAAATTTTACTAAATTGGATGCATAAGTTGTTGTGTACTAAGCTGTATAAGTTACTGTACTTTTTTAACCATTCCACGGGAATTCTTAAAATTTCCGGGATGAAATGTATCTATAATGTTCACTGGGGATATAAGGTGCTAAATTTCATTTAAATAGGTCCAACAATTTTGGAGATACAAACACAAACAGACAAACTGACTCCCCTGACTCGGTTTTTAGCATTTTTTTTTGTATGTACAGACATTCGACCACTATAGTTTTATTATATGTATGTATGGATTATCGAAATTGGACTCGCTTGTCTGTACTATTCATGGTCTCCAAACATACGTTGATAGTGTATTGTTATGTCACGCAGCGACGATCGACGTGAAGCGCAACATCTACTCGCTGGGCGTGTCGCGCTTCGGCACGCAGATCTCGCTGGTGGAGAACATGGGCGACTACGACCAGGTGCAGGAATCCTGCGTCAAGCTCTACGACGTCGGCCGCAAGCGCGACCACGACGATGACGCGGTAACACGCACACGCACACACACACACACACACACACACACACACACACACACACACACACACACACACACACACACACACACACACACACACGCGCGCACGCACGCACGCACATATATACACACGCACATAGATATACACATACGCACAATGTACATACTAGTGGCGAAGGTTGAAACTTTAATAGAGAAAATATACAATTTTTACGTACGTATTAATGCAAAAAGAACCAAAGCTATATATATATATATATATATATATATATATATATATATATATATATATATATAACCTGGATGAACCTGAGCGAAGCGAAGGCGATTAGCTAGTCTGATATAAATGTGATGTTCTTTTTCCTTCTTTTAAATTCTTTAAATATATGTTACAGGAAGAAGAAGAAGAAGAAGACTTGGCGGGCGGGTCCGAGAACGACGACGGGTCCGACTCCGGCTCTGACAATGATGACGATTGTGAGTGAACTGAAATTCATACTTTCATACTTAATATATTATAAATGTGAAAGTGTGTTTGTTTGTCCTTCTTTCACGTCGAAACGGAGTGACGGATTGGCGTGATTTTTTGTGTGGAGATAGTTGGAGGTCTGGAGTGTGATATATGCTACTTTTTACAGCGGGAGATTATCTCATTCCCACGGGAAAGCACGTTATAATACAACCCACTGTAACTCATCATATATATGTATAATATCTATATATATAATGTATAGAGACGAACCTGAGTTGTATGTTTCATAAGTAAATAAAATGACCATATCGGTCCAATGTAATTTCACTGAGTATTAAAAAAAACAAAATTTTAAACTGGCGCCATTGGTTCTATTGGCCTTGACGTCATAGAGAAAGTAATTGCAGTGTAATGATCTAACCAATCCCCAGTAGCATCGAGCCTCCTGCGCAACGCGGTGCTGGGGCTGGCCGACGGCTCGGCCTCCGCCTCGGGCTCCGCGTCGGGCTCCGCCTCCGCCTCGGCGTCGGGCGACGAGCGCGAGCGGCCGCGGCGCGCGCGCCGGCGCCCCGTGCGCACGCGCAGGCGGGTGAGTGACACACACATACACACACAAATACATGTAGCAAGGTTGCTACATAGAATACAAGATGACACGTTTGGCCCAGTTCGTAGTGATCCTACTTGCTGTGCCAGCGGTCGCGAGTTCGAGTCCCGCTGGTATTCATAGCATGAATGTTTGTACTCCAGTCGTGGGTGTTTATATTTAGGACGATGACTAATGATGGCTGCAGGAGGTGGATAGTGGAACTCTTCAATGGCTTCTAGTGACACCATAGAGTTTGGGCTCGTATAAGTTTTGGCGATTCCCATTCGATGGGGCATTATTATATAGTTTCAAAATAAATCTATACTAATATTATAAAAAGGTGAGAGTTTGTTTGTTTGAACGCGCTAATCTCGGGAACTACTGACCCGTGTTCCGCAACCGGTTCCCGTGGGATAGATTTGTTTTTGTCTAAAGAGGGTGAGTCGCTGGTGAATAATAAAAATATTAAACGATTTTTTCATTCAATTTGTCCATATGAATTTGATCAAGAATAAAGTATTTTCTAATTTCCTTAGCCGGAAATCGAACCTGTCATTATTTTAAAGTTTCTATTATCATTCTTATATAAATTTATATAATTTATTATACAATTCCAGGCGGCAGAGAACCACAGCAGCGACAGCGACGCTGACATCGACTTCGGCAACATCATCGAGTTCGAAATAGACTAACAGTTCCAATACACGTGTTGATATATGTATATTTGTGTTTTATTTGTGTGTCCGGGGACTTATCCTATCCTGTAATTAATCCTGTCCTATAAGTTAATTGCTTCAAATTCAATTCAATTGGTTTTTCAATGGCTTCAAAGCGAGTTGAGCACAGATTACTTAGCTAATATCACGTGCAATGGAGAAGACATAAAGGATGAGTTTGTGCGGCGTATTCCTAGATGGCGCTGTTATTATTTCATTGATAGTTAAATTGGTTATATATTAGATGAACCATTATATTTTAAGCAGTTTTTATAATTATTCGTAAATGACCTATTTTTTTTTAATTTATTCTTTATTTATATATGTACTAGCGATTAACTCTCGCTTCGCTCGGGTTCGTCCCTAGGTACGTTTTAGCGGAAAAAATACGCCACAAATACACGATAGAAAAAATTAAGAAAATTTACAAAATCATATCTATTTATTTAAACATTTAAATACTATAAAATTTAAAATCAAAAAATGAAAAACAACGTATAGTTTAATGTTTAATACTTCTAATAGAAATAAACTACTTAAGATGCTTTCTACTACACTACATACATATACTTGACGTATAGCTAAAAAAATGAAATTACCTCAAAAAAACCCTGAAAACGAAAAAAAAACTGGTAAACAAAAAAAAAACAACAAATCATAAAATAAAAATATATTCAAAGTGGACAATTACCAATATGTACAGATAGCACTACACACATCACCTACCAACCAGAAATGTACCAATAAATTATTATAAGACATTCTCCTTACACTATAGAAAGTTCTAGATGCCTCGTTGTGTTCCTTTCATTGTTCCATTTCGTTGGAATACAAACATATATGTATGTATGTTTGTTTTCATTCATCTCTTAAACTTAATAACTAAAATATTCGAGAAACGAGGCACCATCAACAAGCAATGTTAAAAATAAAAATGTCGATTGAAATATATTCCATTACAAAGTCATTGTAAATTCAAAGTTACACCGATTGTTAATATAACATAAAAATTATTTTTTATTCCAGCAACTGATAGCGATTAACCAGAGTTTTAAATGGAAATGTGAAATTCATTATTAAAAACAAAAAACGTAAATAAAATAAAAAACAAAACACAATACTAGTCATTCGAGCACCGTAGCTTTAAAAAATCGGTTCTTAAATTAAAAAAAAAATAAGTTAAAAAAAAACTAAAGCCGTTGATCGTCAAATTTAAAATTCGAATTTACATATTTAAATATTATATGAAAATATTTCTCTACATACATTTGTGCCTGTCATTACCGTGTCACAGATAAACTATATCAGCATTAAATAGACTTTTCCATAATGATAAAAATTACTTATTAATATTATTATTAATAAGCATCACCCAGCAAATATCGTCTATATAAAATACTCTAGACAACTTGGAAATTAAAAAAAAATATATATATTTTATCTGTCCATGTACTTCAAGGTCATCGATCCAAAAAGTACTAGATACACAATCAGCGACAAAAAATGTCCTCACCGAACGAGCGCTCATTTGAATATTTAAGCGCGCTTTACTACTAATTTACATATTTGTTCTTGTAAAAACAACTTTAAGCATCGCATTTAAGGTTCAATTTACATTGCTGTATATTTATTTCAACTGGAACAATTACCTAAACACAAATGGTGACAGTTTTAAGAGAACTTTTGCATGAGATTGTGTATCTAGCACTTTTTTGATCGACGCTTCACGTCAAGTGTCATATATTATTATTTTAAATCTATACTTGTGACCTTATATTATTTATTATATATGAAGCGTAGAAGTAAGGAGTAACATCTATGTATATGTAAACGTATCCGTCAAAACGCCAATAAAGATGGCGCTGCGGTAGCGTAGAATAAATTTTAAAAGAAGCTCCAAAAGTAAGAGTGAGATAGAGAAATAAACAAACAAGGACGATTATATTTAGTAAATCATTTTAGACAACGTAAAAAGTTGGGGTTTTGTATACTGGTATTTCAATGTACTTTAGTCAGAAAAAAATTAAATTTTTGAATTCTCTACAACAGCTAAATTCACATCGTAGTTTTTAGAACGCCAGCGCCATCTATTTTCAGCATACAGATGGACACTATTTCAACTTATCTATACTAATATTATAAAGAGGAAAGATTTATTTGTTTGTACCGAATAGGCGCCGAAACTACTGAACCGATTTAGATGAAATTTGGTGATAAGATAGTTTGAGCTTCCGTGGGAAGGACATAGGATAGTTTATATCCCGGAAATCAGACTTTAAGGTTGTAAAAATGGGCCCCATATAAATGACTCCTCCTTACTTCTATACTCCGTAAATATGTGCTACATACATATATATATAACAAAAAAATATTACATTTATTCATCTTAATCTGCATACTCTCCATCTCTTACAATTGAGTGAACATTTATGAGACAAAATATATATTTAAAAAATATATTTTTTAATAAGCATTCATTAAAGAAGAAGAAAAAAAACTAAAACAGTGGACGGTTAGGATTTTTCATATATTATGTATATAATATAATATATACATATATGTAACAACAGCAAGTAAAGTCGCGATAAAAACATAAACAAAATTAAACACTCAATTGTAAGAAACGTACAATTAAATAAAAATCAAGACTATTATTAGTAGTAATTATTCCCGAACTAACATTCGCTATATTTATTGCTAATATTAAATAAAGATGGCGCTCTTAAAAATGGCGGGAAACCGTTAAAAGCGATCAATGAACATATATAAGATACTTTAACAGTTAATATAATAAAATTAGTTAAATAAATGCACATATAAATGATTTTTAGTGAAAAATTAAAGCGCAAGCGAAGAAACAAAATAAAGTAAATAAAATTTGAAACAACGCCATCTATCGGCAGAATTTGGAACTAGATAATTATATCGATATGTATTACATAATATCTAACACTCCAAATAAGAAGTATCAATGAGCGAGTGAGACGTCAAATTACCGCTATCCCTTTCATACCCACATAATTGCGAGAGATAGACACATACATATCTTCTCTTTTCTCTACAAAAAATATATATAGGTACTAGCAACATAATAGTATTAGATATAAAATTATCTGTACAAATAAATAGACAGTGGAATCTTAAATGGCGGTATATTGGGAATTATTATATTTGTTTTCAAATATTTGGGAATGTTCATTCGTTATTATTTAAAGAGTATGAATATACACATATATATATATATATATATATATATATATGGTGTGTGAGAGAGAAGTAAATAGCCATATACTAAAAAAATATATCCGTTGTTTTTCTTTCACCAGTTCTTCTCAGGATTTTATTTCCGAACTGGTCATATAATAACAAAAAATATGTTATATACATTGATATACAAAAACTCAAGATACTATTGGCGTCTCAAAGGTGTCTTCAAAAAGAAGTGCACAATTCGAAATTTTGCACTATTATCAAATCTCTTTTGTTCATACTTTTCAGATGACAAAATAAAAACGCACGTTGTTTCATTTGAAAAAGTACTTTATGTAGTGTGCGTAAGTTCTAATTTGTGTTTGGACAATTAGAACTTACGATTTTTGAATTTCATTCATTGGTTTGACATAACGTCACATGTCGACGCCACTTTCTGAAGAGATATTCGTTAGGAATTGTGTATCTATATATGTTCTTACATATCAATAGTTATAATGCTATTTTTTTTTAATTAGAATTTCTATACAAGAGCGCCATCTATGTGTTTAGTTACTCAGTTAAGGGGGGACATGTAGGTGATGTCGTCCCATGGATGACGGTATAGGGGTTGTTTCAAACGCTTCTGGTCGAGGTAGTGACCCACCAGACCGATGGTGCGACCCAACACGAAGAGAGCGTTGATCGAACCCATCGCTATGTAATTGTTGCCTTCCTCTCTGAAATTAGAAAAAAAAAATTAAAAAAAATCTTTTACATCATATTAATAAATAAATAATTAATAAATATATTGGTACATTAACACACAGCACCATCTAGTTCCATGGTAAGCTACGAGGCTTGTGTTATGGATACCAGATAGTTGATACACTACACACATATATATATATATATATATATATATATATATATATATATATAACTTTAAATACATACATATTATAAATACAAACACTATTCGTGCTCATCACACAAACGAATGCTAGCGGGACGCTAATCCACGACCGCTGGCACGGCGAGTAGGATCACTACAAAACTTATGCCCGATTTCACCAACATCACTTAAGCTACCATCTACGTATAGGATCCGTAGCTTAAAAGTCCCCCTAAACTAGCCCCTAAATAAAATTCGTTTTACGATCGTCTTTAAGCCCATATTTCGAGCACCTAAATTTAGGGGGCCTTTTAATATTTAGGCGACCCCTAACTGTCGGTGAAACAGAAACTGTCCCCTAACAGCCCCCTAACCATGCTTAGGGGATCCCTCAAACTTAGATGATGCTGGTGAAATCGGGCATTAAACTCGTCCCGACCCGAGATCCGTACCCCGAACCCCGGCACGCCACTACCAACACTCACTGGGTGAACAGCTGACAGTGCCGGAACAGGTCGACCATGGCGGCGGCCACGATGCCGTCCACGTTGAGGATGAGGTTGGGCTTCTTGCGCGTGGTGATGGCCTCCACGTCCAGCGCGTAGCGCGTCACCGGCCACGCCGGCCAGCGCGCCGTCACGTACGCCTTCAGCTCGCGCACGCGCGAGTCCGGGTTGTTGATTGACTTCACCCTGTTGGACATATTCAAGTTTAACCATTTTGATAATATTTGCTGTGGTTTGATTGATTAGGAATTTCTAATAGAATGGAAAAATATAAAATGTTGGCATTTCTATGAATATAAACAGAAATTATGATGTTACTATTGTGTATATATATATATATATATATATATATATATATATATATATATATATATATATTACTGGATCGAATTAGATGAAATTTGGTGAGAAGATAGTTTGAGATCATGGGAAGGACATAGCATAATTTATATCTATCTATCTTTACATTAAGGGTGTGAAAATGGGGATGAAAGTTTGTATGGTGAATCAACCTAATTACAATTAACTGGCGAATAGTAAATTATAAACGAGTTAGTTTGCTCCAACCTCGGCGACGGAACTATTCACCCATAGCTCCCCCGAGTCTCCCCACACAACCGTCTTCACCCCACCACCCGAAGACCTCCCCCCTCCCCAACCTAACTCCATATTTCCCAGATTCCCTATATACCCCCAGCTCCCTATTCCCCCCACTCACCTGTGGCCGATGCCCATGATGAGCTCCCCCTTGGCGCGCTTCTCGTTGACGAACTCCTGCGGGTGCTGGCCGCGGTCGTACGCCGCGCAGAAGTCCTGCGCCGCGCGGTCCAGAGCACCCCCGAAACGGTCCCCCTGGAGGGTGGCGAATTATGTTATTAATCTATACTATAATATTATAAAGAGAAAAGATTTGTTTGTTTGTTTGTATCGAATAGACTCCAAAACTACTGAACCGATTTAAATGAAATTTGGTAAGAAGATAGTTTGAGACCAATCAAGGACAAAGGATATTTTTATCCTGGAAATCATCCCTTGAGGGGATTAAAAAGGGTAGTGAAATTTTGTATTTGGAAGCAACCTAGGGACGAACACGAGTGATGCTAGGGTGATTTGTTAGTATAATATATTTATGTAGGACGAGGAAGTAAGACATGCATCCATAATACTTTCTTAGATTTATGGGAATATTTGAAATTTTAAGTAAAACTTTAACTATATATGTAACTTTAACTATAATTAATTTTGGGTAGGTGTTGTCTGTAATAACTATATAATGACCTTTGAGACGTGTAAAACCTTAGTCTCTCCCGTGACCATGTGCGCTGTGAAGCACTCGAAACGTCGGAAACCAAAAATAAAAATAAATCCGCAAAAAAAAATAAAAAATTAATAACATTTCAAATATGGGCCCACAGTTGAAAAAATAGTAAGATACTGATAACTATTTTATTACTATACTAGGAGAAGAAAAACAAACCTATCCCACGGGAACCGTACATTTTTCTGGGATAAAAAGTAACCATGTGTTATTCCAGACTATAATCTATTTCTGTTCCAAATCTCATGCAGATCCGTTCAGCCGTTTCGGCGTGAAAGAGTAACAAACATCCATACTCACAAACTTTCACATTTATAATATTACTATATATATATATATATATATATATATATATATATATATATATATAATTAATACGGATTATAGATAAGTTATCTTATAAGAGACAGTGGTAGCCCAGTGGTAACGCGCTCCCTCGGGAAACCGAGTGAAGCGTTACAACGAATCTGACCACATAAGAATCTTCAAAGAATATATAATCGAACATACATACATACAGGTTAAACACATAACCCTCCAGATCGTAATCGGGTAAAACCAAAGTGTCAACTCACAATAGTCAAGAGTCCACTGACGACGGAGGAGATGAGGTCCTTCCCGGCGCGCGCCGTCACCATGGTGTTGTGTGCTCCCGACACCGCCGGCCCGTGGTCCGCAGTCACGATCAGCACCAGCTCGAAGAACTTGCTCGCCCACTCTGGCAGCTCACGCTGGAACCTGTACAGCATCAGGAAATAACATGTATAAATAATAAATAAATATGTTGGTATATTAACACACAGCACTATCTAGTTCCATGGTAAGCTACGAGGCTTGTGTTATGGATACCAGGTAGATGATACACTATACATATATAACTTTAAATACATACATATTATAAATATAAACACCCATGACTGGAGTACAAACATTCGCATTCATCACACAAATGAACTCGATGACTCGATGACTCGAGGTATTGTAGACCTGAATATTTCATATTAATTTCAACTTGATACCACGCGTTCCTAAGAAAAAGGATCTTAATAGACAAACAAACAGACGAAGTGAGCCTATGTTACGGAACTCGAATCGTCGCATCAGCTCTGCAAGTGCAAGCGCAGCAGCCACCTACATTTCATCAACGCCAATATCTCAACTTCCTACAATATTGTAGTATAAAAGGCATTACTTGGCTGCATCTTCACTGATTTGATCTAACATCGATCGACAGACATTTTAGTAGTAAGAAATTTTAGTTAAGAAATTAATTTTAAGTTAATTTGCATTTCTTTGCACATCCCCTGGCTGCCTCCAAATCATAAGTCCTATAAAAGTTCCATTTTTTCTTTCCAGGTACGGAACCCTAAACAAAGAGTTACCCTAAAGATGGGTTCTATTCTACTCACCACAACAATCTGATGGTGCATTTGGCAAACGAACAATGAACTGAGTAATGATGTAAGGATTCTATTTTTCCATTCGAGGTTCCGAACCCTAAACAACAAGGGTTCTATTTCCACTCACCACAACAGGCTAATGGTGCCGCCCACGCCCAGCTGCCTCTCCAGCACGGCGCTGATGGGCACGCCGCAGTAGCTCAGCTCCTGGCCGCGCTCGTCACATATCGTACTGATGAAGGCCGCCGGTTTCCTGATGATGCCCAGTTTCTGGAAACGGTCAAGTGCGAATTGGTATTTATGACAGACGGACAGACAAGACAGTAAAAGCATGGTTGATTTAAGATTTTATCTATACTAATATTATAAAGAGGTAAAATTTGTGAGTTTGTGACGATGTAGAGGGTAATCTCTGGATCTACTGAACCGATTTAGATGAAATTTGGTAAAAAAATAGTTTGAGACCCTGGGCAGGACATATGATACTTTTTATCCCAGAAATCACCCCTTTAGGGGATGAATATAGGGATGAAAGTTTGTATGGGGAAGCAAGCTAGGATGGTGGGCTAGGAGGGTGAGTCGCTAGTTAGTTTATATGGTAAGGGAGACACTTCTCGAAAGATGTGTATATGAATTCTCATGCCCAACAGTGAGACGTTAAATGGGATATATATATATATATATATTTTTTACTTAGAATTAATTTGTAAATTATTCATTTTTTAAATAATCTTTTCACATTTTAAAGTAACAGTAAGATACTAAAAAATATTTTATTATTATATTATTATATGTAAATATACACAAAAAAATATACATAAAATGTAACAAACAACTCACTCTTGCCCAATCGTAGTCCATTGGCACTTTAGGAGGTTCTATCTCTTCCTTCTCTATGATCTTGCCTTCCGCTACTAACTTCTTGTACACCTGAAGAAAAAAAAATCCAATTCAATTATACACACAAAAAAAAATATAATAATTCAATTCAATTCCCTTGTTAATAACTTCAAAGCGTGCCAGTTGAGCACAGATTACTTTGTCAATGTTACGTGGAACGGAGAAGAGGCGAATGAGATTGGTCGGTTAAAAATAAATATAATAAGTTTCCTGACTAACTTATGATTAAACTAGCATTGCCCGCGGATCCACTCGCGTTCAGATGACCAAAAACCAAATTCTGAAGTTTTACATATTAGTATACTCTTACATTGCAGTTTTTGTATTTTTTCTCAGAAATGAAATATTTTCCCGCGGTAAAAAGTAGCCTATGTCACTCTCCATCCCTCCAACTATCTCCATATAAAAAATCACATTAATCTGTCACTCCGTTTCGACGTGAAAGAAAGACAAACAAACAAACAAACGCACTTTCACATTTATAATATTAAGTATGCAAGTATGGATGTTCCACCCTTGGGCGTGGAATCCCACCTTATTGATGGCGTCCCCGAGCGTGTCGAAGGAGTCGGGCACGGCGGCGCCGTGCGCGGCCAGCGCCGCGTTCTTGGCCGCCGCCTTCTCCAGCGCGGAGCCCGCCAGCGAGCCCGCGTGCCCGAACTGCACCTCCGACGTGAACATGTCTGGTGGGTGAGCATTCATAATTTATTATATAGTATAATTTAATATTCATTATTTATTATATAGTAGTTACTAGCGTTGTCCGCGGCTCCGCCCGCGTTCAGATGACCAAAAACCAAATTCTTAGGTTTTACATATTAGTATAGTCTCACATTGCAGTTTTTGTATTTTTTCTCGAAAATGAGACATTTTCTTGCGGTAAAAAGTATCCTATATGTTGACCCGGATAATCAGCTATCACCATACCAAATTTCATCAAAATCCCACCAGTGGTTTTTCCGTGATGCGGTCACAAACAAACAGATAGACAGACAGACAGACAGACAAAAATTCTAAAAACTATGAATTCGATCTCTGTATCGATTATAATGACTATTTCAATAATATTTTCAAAAAAAATATGTTATGTACATATTCGGCTTTTAATTACAATTTTATTATATGTATAGATAAGAGATTTATAACTGGTCGGTAATGCATGTATTTATTACTGGTCCGATATTGATTATTTATGAATATATATAAAAATGTAGATTAACATCATATATTATGTATGTATGTATTACTGGACGTAAGCCTCTCTTCGATACGAGGGGGATCAGGCCATAGTACACCACACTGGCCAAGTGCGGACGGACTTCACATGCCTTTCGAGAACTTGCTAGGTTCTCTCACAGATACAGGCTTCCTCACGATGTATTCCTTCACCGTAATTCAAGTGGTAATCATGTTGGAAATGAAACCTGCATGTCTGAGAGAACCTAGCAAGTTGCCCTCAGTCCGCTCGCACTTGGCCAGCGTGGTGGACTATAGCCCGATATGAAGGGAGGCCCACGCCCAGCAGTGGGATGTTAACAAGGGACTGACCAGAACAAGTCCCGATGCACCAGGCCACCAGGGGCTTGGTGAGCCGCCGCTCCCGCATCAGCCGGCACACGTGGTACTCCTCCACACCGCCCACTTCGCCCAACAGCACTATCATCTTCACGTTGGGATCTGCTTCGTATCTGTTTATATGTGGAAGACATAAATTGATATTTATTTTATTACTAGCGACTCAACCTCGCTTCGCTTGGGTCCGTCTGTAGCTCGATTCCCCATACAAACTTTCAACCGCATTTTCAACTTCTTAAGGGATGATTTCCGGGATAAAATCTAATCTATGATCTTCCCAGAGTGTCCATCACCATACCAAAGTTCATCAAAATCGGTTCAGCGAATTAACCGTAAAATAGTAACGGACAGACAGACACACATATTAAAATATAGTATAGTAAAATAACACTCACATTATCAAAAGGACAACGTAAAATATATAAATACAAAATCCGTATAGCCATCAAAGTATCTTCAAAGAACTTAGGGTTCGACATATGTACATACATAAAACACACACACACATACATACATACAGATCAAACACCGAAACAACAGAAAAACCCTTCTTTTTACCGCCATACGATCAATATAACAAAAAAAAAGCAACCACGAAAACAGAACAGACAACAGAAGTGAAAAATTAAAACTATAAACAAACAATTGTTATTTTTGGATATTCAAATTAATTGTTTGATATTAAATTAAAATTTATAAATTAAAACTGTTTATCTAATCTGGTGTCGACATCTATCGGCACTCTGGAGTGTTAGAGTTAACACGTCACGTGACCGTGTCGATGACGACTTACATGAATTTACTCGCCATACAAACGAACCTGCTTATAGAAGTTTTCACTTCATATAAAACCCACCTCAGCAAATGATCAACAAACGTCGTCCCAGGGTATCTGTCACCACCGATGGCCACCCCCTCGCACACGCCGTCCGCATCCTTTGACAGTATGTTGTTCAGCTCATTGCTCATACCTCCGGAACGCGACACGTAGGCCACACTGCAAAATTAAAAAAAAAATAATAATTAAAAAAATATAATAAACTGGTTTTAACCTGCTGTCCCGTCAATATCGGTCATATGTCACATAAAGACAAATAAAAATTTAACAACATTTTTTCTCATATTGTTTTGACATTACAGTTTTATTTATTTGTATGTTTGTATATATAAATATATTGGAACACTAACACACAGCACCATCTAGTTCCATGGTAAGCTGTGAGGCTTGTGTTATGGATACCAGATAGTTGATACACTAACACATATATAACTTTAAATACATACATATTATAAATATAAGCCACCCATGACTGGAGTACAGACATTCGTGCTCATCACACAAACGAATGCCCCCAGCGGGACACGAACCCGCGACCGCTGGCACAGCAAACTGAGCACAACTCACCTGCCGGGTCTGTACAGCTTGCTGTCCACGATATTGTCGATCATTCCGGCGGTGTTGCCAATCTTGAAGCAGCCCGGCTTTATACCACCGACCGTGGCCGGACCTATTATGTTCACCTGAAATTTTGTTTAGTTATTAGTTTTTTTTTTAATTTTTATAAGAAGGTATGTACACTACAGTAGAATGGGTAATACGCGTGTGATTTAAATAAAGGTGAAATATTTTTTTTATAATCTTCATTGCGTTTGAATTGAGTCTATATTAATATTTTTTTAATGTAATTTCTTTTTGATTAAGAAAATAGTATAGGTGGGAAATTCGAAGTAGTTGAAACGCACGCCATTGGTCAGACCGAATGTGACGTCAGAGTATATCATAACAGAGCGATTAGCGATTTTGTCGCTACAAACTAAAGGCATCATTTTTCTATGTATGATATATATGCTGTGACGTCACGCCGAGCGCGCGAAACGGCGGGCCGTTTAAAGTATCCGTATCGGTATGATAATTTTAATTTTGTTTAATACTAAATTTAATTTTTTTAAGTTGGATATGTATTTTTTTACAATTATATAACGATATTAGCTATTGCATAAAAAATCTAAAAAAATCACGCATATTCCCTATTCACAATATGAAAGTATTGTAACATACAAACAGACAGACAGTATCTATTAGAAATCCCTTTTTTATATACCAAAAAAAATAAATAAAAATGCAGCTTACCCCTCTAGCGTCTGCCAATTTAATTATTTTCCTCGTCATATTTTCGGGGATTCCCTCTGCGATGATAACGATTGTGTTGATCTGAGGATGCTGCATTGCCTGAAAAGAAAAATCACAAAAATAAAATAAAAACTTGAGTAATTTAAAAAAAAAAAACTTAACGCCATCTTGGTTCAACTTCGCTGTAGGTACAGAATTATTTTTTTAGCATCGATCAAAAAGTACTTAATCTAAATTTCTCTTAAAACTGTCACCGATTGTGTTTAGGTAATTATTCTAGTTGAAGTAAATATACAACAATGTAAATTGAACCTTAAATGCAATGCATAAAGTTGTTTTCACAAAACAAAAACAAATAAAAGCGAGCTCAAATGTTTAAACGAGCGCTCATTAGGTGAGGGCATTTTTTGTCGCTGATTATGTTTCTAGTATTTTTTTGATTGATATTTTTTAGTTTAATACCGATCGATGACATAAGCTAAGTAAGTACCCATATTTCTTCAAAAATGAATTACCGTTCATTCTTTCAAACAAAGTTTCATCAAATATTGGCGTTTCAAAAGTGAGAGTTATTATAGACGGTATCCATCCGCCCACAAAAGTTATACAACAATTTGTAATAAAAAGAAGAAAATAAAAACTCTAAACTCCCTAAGCCTCCCTTATGATAATTTTTTATGAAAAATATTCCGAATATATCAAAATAAAAATAGAACCGCGAACAAATCCAAATAAATAAAATTATACATAAAATGTCAAAAAATCAACAAAATCTAAGAAAAAAAAAGCAAATATATCTAAGATAATTAATTATTATAATTATGTTCCGTAACACTATACTAATCGTTTTATTTTATTTGCACGGCCGCGAATTCTAAACTCACCATTTTGATTTTTATTTAATTGTTGTTATAGCATCAATAGAAAGAAAGACAGACACACTCTGTGACAACTTTCTACGTATTATATAGTTCATGAGATACCACTGACTGACAGACAGACAAACAGACAGCGGCTTATTAAAAGGGTTCCGATGAAACCCTTACGTACGGAACCCTAAAAAATAATTAAATACTAAATTAGATATAAAAAAAAAACCACATAAATACCTGTAAAGTGCTATCATACGCAGAACGAAGTGATGCAAAATTGACTAAAACAGTCGCCTCTTGATGTTTACGCATTGCCACATCCATATCGCTGAAAACTGAAAATATATATATCAATTAACAAAATGTCCGTCTGTATATCACATTTTAACCATTTATAATATAAAATGGCTGTACACATTTCCATGCAACTTTGTGTATTGGAATAGATAGCACGATACTATACTAGTTGACGACACGTTTGACTCGGTTTGTAGTGACGCAACTTGCTGCGCCAGCGGTCGCGGGTTCCAGTCCCGCTGGAGGCATTCATTTGTGTGATGAGCACGAACGTTTGTATTCTAGTCATGGGTGTGTATATTTATAATATGTTTATATTTAAAGATATAAATGTTTAGTGTATCAATTATCTGGTATCCATTACAAAGGCCTCGTAGCTTACCATGGAACCAGATGGTGCTGTGTGATCAAGTCATAACATATATAAAAAAAAATCACCTGGTATGAAGACCTCTTTATTTCCGAAGTAATATTTTTGTTTGTGGTCCGCTGTGAAGGGGTAGACAATTGCCACCACCGAGGGCTCCGCTCTTCTACATATGTAGTCGAAATCCAGCATACCCTGGTGTATACAAAAAATATATATATTAAAAATATATTTTGTACTAGCACTGCCCGCGGCTCCGCCCGCTTTCAGATGACCAAAAACCAAATTCTTAGGTTTTACATATTAGTATACTCTCACAATGCAGTTTTTGTATTTTTTCTCAGAAATGAGACATTTTCCCGCGGTAAAAAGTATCCTATATGTTGACCCGGATAACCAGCTATCACCATACCAAATTTCATCAAAATCCCTGCAGTGGTTTTTCTGTGATGCGCTAACAGACAGACAGACAAAAATTCTAAAAAATATAGATTCGGCCTCTATATCGATAATAATGTCCATTTCAATAAGATTTTCCAAAAAATATTTAATGTACAGATTCGACTCAGTTACAATTTTATTATATGTATAGATGTTTTGTATGTGAGCATCATAATTCGATACTACTTTCTAGTTTTTGTTAGAAAATATTTTATTATCACGTTCATTTACTATAGCAAATAGAGAATATGCGTGATTTTTTATACAATAGCTTAAATCTTACATCGTTATATAATTGGAAAAAAAAACAGCTCCAAAAAACTAAAATTTAGTATAAAACTTTTTTTTTTAAATATCATATCGGTACAGATACTTTTTTATTTTAATCTTTATTGATAAATAAATTGTATCGGTTCAACCGTTTCGGAGATTAGCTGGAACAAACTAAACTGCTTTCCGAGCCGGTGGCAGCTACCTCATGGACTGACTACACTAACGCTTACATTAAACTGACGATTCAAAAGCACTTGTAATAAGTCTAATTGAATAAAATATTTCATTTCATTTTACAAACAGACTAATTGACATTCTTTCATACATATTTTCATGCGTTTAGTAAAAAGCTTTTATTTTGACATTACAAACAGACACTTCAGATTTATTTATCTGTATAAAATATAGATGTATAGATTCGTCAAGTGAATTGAAAAAAAAGCCTTTATTTCGTCTCCATTGTCATGTCCATAGACAGGAGACAACTAGTGATGTACCCTCACCTGTATAGCCCTATTCTGCATGCCCCACACTATCGCCTTGGTCCGGTCACTGAACAGTGGTCTGGAGGCCGACGTTTGTTGGCCGAGGTCAGCCCTTGTGGGCGCTTGAGAGCACACCAGGTCTAGAAGGGCTGGTGTCAGTTCTGGCAGATCGATTTTTGGTATAGGCTGAAATGAAATGTATACACATATAAATCATAAACGATGTCCATTTATGTATTTTTACATAGTACACAAATACATTTTTTTTAAGAAAAGATATAAATAAATAAATATGTTGGTGCATTAACACACAGCACCATCTAGTTCCATGGTAAGCTACGAGGCTTGTGTTATGGATACCAGATAGTTGATACACTACACATATATAACTTTAAATACATACATATTATAAATATAAACATCCACGACTAGAGTACAGACATACGTGCTCATCACACAAATGAATGCACACCTAGCGGGACACGAACGCGCGACCGCTGGCACAGCAAGTAGGGTCACTACAGACTGACCCAAACGTATCGTCATATTGAGTGTAGTGTATATGGGGTGTACTCATCGCAGCTCAGATTTGGGGAGCTCTTTGATAAATGTAAATCCCAAATTATATACAAAGTTTGAGAACCGCTGATACAACAATGATGGGTATAGAATATATAGGTGATTAACAGTATGTTTGGGAAGTTGTTTGATAAACTTTGAGGACCGTTGATACATCAATGATGGATATATAATAAATATATAGGTCATTCACAGCATATTTGGGGAAGCTGTTTGATAAATTTTTGAGGACCGATGTAATATGGATATTGAGTGTAGAGTATATGGGGTGTATTATTGTATCACTCACTGCAGGCTCTTGTTTGGGATGCTGTGTGATATAGTTTGAGGATCGCTGATACAATAATGACGGGTATAGAATATATAGGTCACTAACAAAATGTTTGGGGAAGCCGTTTGATAAACTTTGAGGACCACTGATGTGTGGGTATTTAGTGTAGAGTGTATGGGGTGTATGACTCACCGCAGGCTCAGGCTTGGGGAGCTGTTTGGGCGCGTAGTCGAGCTGGTGGTCCGCGGGCACGGGCGCGTGTCCGAGCGCGAGCCGCACGATGCCGGTCATGCTGCTCTCCGGCCCGAACACGTACATCGGGATACGAAGACGTTGGCCCACTTCACGCATTTTCCTGTGACATTTGAAAGAGGAAACATTTATGTTTTTGTTTGTTTGTTTGTTTGTACTGAATAGATTCCGGAAATCACTGAACCGATTAAGATGTGGTAAGAAGATAATTTGAGATCCTGAGAAGGATATGGGATAGTTTTATCGCGGAAATCATCCCTTAAGGGGGTGAAAATGGAGTTGAAAGTTTGTATGGGGAAACAAGCTAGAGACGAACCCGAGCAATGAGCGTGAGCGCTAGTTTAAAATAAAATATCTAAGCAGCATTGAACCTGTACTAACCTCAATCCCTCTTGATAGTTAGGTCCACCTCTCCTCACGAATATCGTCACATTGTACTGTATCAGCGCATCCTTGTACATCTCGATCGCTGTGATGATGCCTCTGAAGGTATCAGCTACGTTAGTGAAATTGGCTATACCACCACCTATGATCAGGACCTGGGGGAAGTTAAATGAAACATTTAATAACTAATAATATTTTTTTATTCTTATTATTATATATATATTACGAGAGACAATTGAAATGGAACCACATGAGAAGTATATATTTTGAAACAAAAAAAGAATTTTCTAAATCGGTTCAGGCGTGTTTGATTAACTGATGAACATCATAACAAAAAATAAATCCAACGAATTGAGAACCTTCTCCTTTTTGGAAGTTGGTTAAAAATAATAATTAAAAAGTGCGTATATGAATGTGTACACGCGCAAGAAGTAAAACTTCTATAGGTCACCGGTAGGTACTCTTTATGAAATTCAATTTATGTTTTAAATAATTATTATAGGTGAGATACTAAAAATAACGCATATAAGGCATATTATAATCATATATTTATAGAATATTATTTAAGGAAAGAATATAGTATTATATATAATTTGTCAGACAATAACAACGGTTCCCATGACAACAGACGTTCGCCTCGCCCGATCACACTTTTCGTAACGCTCTCGTAACGCATTCACCAGCTTACTCCCCAAGTCGAGCGTGCGTAAAGAAGTTAAAGAAAAAATAGCGCATAAAGCTACACACACACACACACCTTCCCCTTCGGATGCCGGTCGCGGCACATGAGGCTGAAGACGGTGCGCGCGTAGTCGCGTGTCTGCGCCTCGCTGGGCGCGCCCGAGTACTCGCCGTAGTTGGCGAGGTCGGCGGCGCCGCCCAGCGCGCACACCGTGTCCGCGTACACCACGGACGCGCCGCCGCCCGCCACCATCGTCCAGATGCGGCCCGCGTGGTTCAACACCGTTAGCTGTTCAATATTGAAATAATAATTTTATTTAAAAAACAAAACGCATCGATCAAAAAAGTACTATAGCGTGTTCGCCGAATGAACCCGAGCACTGAGATTTTGCATTTTCCACGTGATCAGTTACAGATAAGTATACAATGCAAGTTATAATTAGTCCGTCGTTGCATTCCATACCGTTCAGACGTCTCTCGTGTAGTTACCTGATTTACTATCACTCATCGACTCACCCTCGCATCGCTTTGGTTCGTCCCTAGCTTGCTTCCCGATAAAAACTTTCATCCCCCATTATCACCCCCTTAAGGGATGATTTCCGGGATAAAAAGTATCCTATATCCTTCCTAGGGTCTCAAACTATCTTCTTACCAAATTTCATCTAAATCGATTCAGTAGATCCAGAGATTAACCTACCTTAATAGAGTTTTTTGTAGTTTTAGCGCGAGCGGAGCCGCGGGTTCTGCTAGTATTTTAATATTTTTAACTTCCCAATAGAACCATTAGCTTATTTCAAAGTCAATTACCATTAAAAAAAAAAGAATTACATACCTTCAAACTGGCCCCACTCTTGGCATCAAGATCAGCTATATGGGCCTCTTCAGGGTATGCATCCCTACCAAATGGTGGGGGGAAGGTGACCTCACCCCAATTCTTGGCACAGATGAAGTCCGCCGTCTGATCGAGCTTGGCCGCCAAGTCCAGTAGATAGACCCTTTCATTTGTTATCACTATCGGGTTTATTTCCATATATGTGAAGTATAAATCCACAAACACTTTGTATAGGGCTAGTATGAACGATGTCAGTATCCTGCAATACGAAATTAAATGTCCTTATTACTTTAATCAGTTATAATTAAAAACTTTCATCCCCATTTTCACGCCCTTAAGGGATGATTTTCGGAACAAAATGGATCCTATATCCTTTCCAGGGTCTCAAAATATCTTCTTACCAAATTTCATCTAAATCGGTTCAGTAGATCCAAAGATTACCCCCTATAACCTCACGAACTCACAAATTCTACCTCTTTATAATATAAGTATAGATTAATATCTATACCTACATATAATAAAATTCTCAGTCGAATCTGTACATTAAATATTTTTTGTTTTTTTTTTTGAAGTAGTCATTATTATCGATACAGAGGCCGAATCTATAGTTTTTAGAATTTTTGTCTGTCTGTCTGTCTGTATGGGAACGCATCACGAGAAAACCTGAACAGATTTGGTATGATGATAGCTGGTTATTCGAATCAACATATAAGATACTTTTTACTGCGGGAAAATATCTTACCTCTAAGAAATCTATACTAAACGTTAAAACGTAACTAGGAACGAAACTAATTCTATTGATTGATTGCTGTAAAGAATTCGAAACGTTGGGAACCAAAAATCAAAACAAATCGGGGAAAAGATCCGAAAAGACTGTTTTATTTAATGAAACTTATTATTACATAGAGAGAGAGTTCTCTTCCCCATAATATGTCCATTCTATTTTTTTTTAAACCATAAATGCAATAATGACACTTACACAAAAATATACACCGACTTCAAGTTCAACAGTTTACAAGCAACCATTCCTCCCATATGGGTGGAAATTTTTCCTATTTTTTGTTTTAAAAAAGAAAAAATAATTTAAATACAATAATGACTTTAGCACTAAAAATATACACAAAAATATTCAAACGAACATAATATGTCTTAACTTAATACATCCTCTTTTTTAAGTCGGTTAATAGCTGATTTATGTCCGATTTCAGTAACAACCCATAAGCTTCCCTATCTTAAAAGTCCCCTGAACTAGCCCCTAAATTAAATTTCGTTTTACGATCGTCTTTAAGCCCATATTTCGAGCACCTAAATATTAGGGGGCCTTGTAATATTTAGGCGACCCCTAACTGTCGGTGAAACAGAAACTGTCCCCTAACAACCCCCTAACCATGCTTAGGGGATCCCTTATACTTAGGTGACGTTGGTGAAATCGGGCATTAAACGCATTCTAGAGTAACATGTACCTTTTAGTTGTTGCACTTTTAATGTTTTTTAACAAAGCGCGATCAATATCTTCGCCGGTGGGAAAAGTGTCCACAGGAATCTGGAAATAAGACATTGTTTTTATTAAAACTAATTTACCCGACTATCTCTAAAAAAGGGTTGTGTAATTCGAATAATTGTATTCAGCCCTTTTTAACTGTAGACCTCCTTTCAATACGAGGGGGATCAGGCCATAGTACACCACGCTGGCCGAGTGCGGGCGGACTGAGTATGTCTTTTGAAAACTTCCTAGGCTCTCAGACGTGCAGGTTTCCTCACGATGTTTTCCATCACCGTAAGGCAAGTGGTAATCATGTTAAAAATTATTCGCACATGAAAATATCAGAGGTGCGAGACCCGGGATTTGAACCCGCTTCACTCGGTTATTCCCGCGGGATTCGTGATAACAAATCACTTACCTCAAGCCTTACAGCCAGCGCGTCAACGTCACCAACATCAACCCCACCCTGGTGGTGGAACATTATTGTATCAGACCGACGGCCTGATTGAATGCATAGATACATCTCTTCGTTCTAAAAAAAACACATTTTTGTAATTATTTTAACCGACTTTATAAAAGGATAGTTTTGAATCACCCATTGTAAGCCGGATTTAATGATTTTTAACCGACTTCCAAAAAGATTTGAACCGATTTGGAAAACTCTTTTTTTGTTTCAAAGGGTTTTCTTTCCAGGTAGTCAGTCCCATTTAAATATTATCGAAATCGGTCAAGCGGTTTTTGAAAAACCAACAATAAATTATTTTTAAATAAATCGCTTAATCGAATATGTTATAAAAAAAAACTTTCTTCTTGCAAATTACCTGCTTATTACGTCTATACTCAAGATGGAAAAGTAACTAAACGGGCGTTTTCATTTAGAATAGATACCTAATCAGATATTTTCGAAGTCGGTGCCAGCCGGCAACTCTTTAACTATGAATATCTAAGAGAGAAATATGACAAGGTATGAACTCAGATTATACTTAAAATATTATACATCAATTTGTGATACGTTTATACGTATCCAAATAGATTTGTTTTACTTTGCATCGACAAATTTCAAGAATTTCAATAATCTCCTAGTAAAAGGGCTGTGACATACTGACAAAAAGACAGACAGATATAGGTAAATTGTAAGGGTTCCGTTTTAACCTTTTGGCTATGGAACCCGAAACATGCCAATTTTGGCTATGGATAAAAATGCATCTGGCAAATTAAAAAAAATCTGCTAGACATAATTCAATAAAACTTTGTTTCTATACAAATTAAAAAAAAACCAACTCACCGACTCATGTTTAACGAAGGGTTCCACAACAAAACGCCTCAACTTGCCGGATGCCGGACCTATCTTCTGCTCTTTGCCCATATGCTCGGTCAGCCACCGCCGGACTTCCCCGGCCGTCTTGTTCACACCCACCAGACCCAACTTACCACGCCTTTTGATCAACTGGTCTGGCTTCACTACTAATTGCTAGAAAGATGTACATATTCATTTAATAATAAATAACTCATGAGCATCGATCAAAAAAGTACTAGATACACAATCAGCGACAAAAAATATCCTCACCGAATGAGCGCTCATTTGAACATTTGAGCGCGCTTTTAGTTTTTTAGGCGAAAACAACTTTAAGCTTTGCATTTAAGGTTCAATTTACATTGTTGTATATTTATTTCAACTAGAACAATCACCTAAACACAACTGGTGACAGTTATAAGAGAACTTTTGCATGGGATTGTGTATCTAGTACTTTATTTATCGAAGCCCATTACACACTTTAGTTCTAATTTCATTCATACTTTGCGATTTTTTTTGATTAACCAGTGAATAGGTATTATGGTTTTACATATAGGATTCTACAATTACCTCTTTAGAGAGCCATGGGTTTTTGCCGAGTTCATCCTCCCATACAGTATCCTTTTCGAATACTGCAAACCGACATGGTACCAACGCCGTACCCGGGGCTATGTGCCTGAAAAGATACAAATGATATCCATTTAAATACACAGATAGATTGATTTGGAACACTTACAACAATTAACACTAATTCATTAAAATTATAATAATCCTCCTTTGGGCTTGTCGCAGTCGGGTAAAAAAAAACAATAAATCAATTCATCAAGTAAATATGTCGGGACATTAACACAGCACCATCTAGTTCCATGGTAAGCTACGAGGCTTGTGTTATGGATACCAGATAGTTGATACACTACACATATATAACTTTAAGTACATACATATTATGAATACAAACAACCATAACTGGAGTACAAACATTCGTGCTCATCACACAAATGAATGCCCGCAGCGGGACTCGAACCCGCGACCGCTGGCACAGCAAGTACGGTCACTACAAAGTAAAAACTGAGCCAACGCATCGTCAAAATTATAACTCATATATCAAAGATTTCTTAGACAGTTTAAGTTTTTTAAGTAATATTTTTTGATTCATTAAAAATAATATTGGGCATATAATATCTGGTCGATTAACATTGATATTATAAGCGATATTAATTATTATTCCCTATTAAATCCCATATAAGCTGCACAACTAAAATACGATAAAGGTACGAGCTCGTCTTTGTTTTGAATTCTTTTGCAAATAATCTAAACATCATGTAGGTATAGTTGAAAGTTTATGCTGGCCTGGATTCGAGTCCCGGATCGAGCTAAGTATTTATCTGTAATTATAATAAAATATGCTCAAGAAATTCTGGGCAATATCTCGGAGTGTGCGTGTTTTTTTTTTGATCTTTTTTATACAATAGTTAACATCTTCATACCAAATCTCATTGAATCTCACCAAAGGAGGAGAGGAGACAAAATTGAAAGAAAAACAGTTCATATCATTATTGGATTTATATTTGTTCTAATTCTCTTCTTACTTCCCCCTGACTTGGTTTTTATCATTTATTTTCTATGTACAGACATTCGACCTCTACAAGTTTTATTATATGTATAGACTAGCGACTCACCCTCGCTTCGCTCGGGTTTGTCCCTAGCTTGCTTCCCCATACAAAGTTTCATCCCAATTTTCACCCCCTTAAGGGATAATTTCCGGTATAAAAAGTATCCTATGTCCTTCCCAGTGTCGCAAATTATCTTCTTACCAAATTTCATCGAAATCGGTTTAGTAGATCTAGAGATTACCCCCTACAACGTCCAAACTCACAATTCACGAACTCATAAACTTTACCTTTATAACATTAGTATTATAGATAGATTGACGTATTATAAATGAAAAAACCATCTTATAGAAATATCACTCAATAGGTTACGACGCGGTCGCGGTTCCATACCTACGTGTATGTCGTATTATCTCTTTAACCATTTGTTCAAATTATATGCAGTAAAAGGGAAAAGTTTTTTGTTTTAAACATTTTAGACGATAAATTTACTTATTTTGATAAGTAGTATTTTGATAAATTCATAATTGATGATAATATGACCCATAAACATGACCTACCGATTTAAATTATTTTTTAATATAAAAAACTACTTTTTGTGACTTAAATATAAAAGTTAGACATATGCTGTCGCTGACTTTTTTGTAGGCATTATTAATCTCTACAACTTTTCTCTAAAACATAATCATATATCTCTCATCGTTAAGGCAGCGTTCGTAAGAAACGTTTTCGTTCGACCGTTTTTTCTTTGGGTTAATATATAGCCTATGACACTCAGTAAGAACGTGGCTTTCAAGCGTGGTAAAAGTATTTTGAATATCGGTTCAGTAGATCTAAGAGATTACCCCCTGCAACATCACAAACTCACAATATCACAAACTTTACCTCTTTATAATATTACTAGCGGACCCGACAGACGTTGTCCTGTCTACACGTCTTTAATTTGAAAATTTCAAACTTTTTTTAATAATTTTTTTGATGAAAATTATTATTCAAATTGTGAATCTAAACCATTCCCAGATCCCCTTGAACACACACAAAAAATTTCATCAAAATCGGTCCAGTCGTTTGAGAGAAGTTCAGTGACATACACACTCACAGAAGAATTATATATATAAAGATAGTATAGATAATACAATAAAAGAAATAACTTCTTCCTTGAAAAATATCGTGTATAATAAATCTTAATAACTTAGAAGGTACTTGAATATGTAAATAGCAGCTGTGAAATATTAAAATTTAAATAAACATTTTGCAAGGTATTTAAATTTATTATCGTTTTTTTTTTGTCATACATGGACATTGAACGTGGATTTCATATACTCGTAAAGTGGTTATCTCACCAAAAATAGACGAAGTGCGCCAAACTTATTTAATAATTGAAGCTTAGGGTGGTATTATAAATAACTATTTTATATATATATATATATATATATATATATATATAATATTATGCAAAAAGAAGAAAAAAAAACATTATTATCAGAAAAATATTAATCTATACAAATATTATAAAGAGGTAAAGTTTGTGACGATGTAGAGGGTAATCTCTGGATCTACTGAACCGAATTAGATGAAATTTAGTAAGAAGATAGATTGAAACCCTGGAAAGAACATACGATACATTTTATCCCGGAAATCATCCCATAAGGATGTGAAAATGGGTTTGAAAGTTTGCATAGGGAATCAACCTATAAAGATAGACATATGACCTGGAGTAACATATAGGTCAGGGCTCAGAATCAGTAAAAAAAAAAAGTTAATTTCGGTAATATAATAGTTAATTCCCCGCTTGTCAATTAACCGGTTAATTTCGATCATGGAACCTAAATTCATCAAAACCGTTTTCCGCGTCTTAACCGGTTAAAGAACCAACAAAACCAACCGTAACCATGCAAACCAAATCTTAACCGAAAAGTCTTTCGGTTTGGGGTCATTGACCAAAACCGGTTTAAAAATAGAACGGTTTTCCGAGACCTGGTATAGGCATCCGGGCAAAATCACTAATATAACATATAAAATACCTCGTTATAAGATCCTTGCCGGTCACTTCGTATATCGCCTTAGAAGACATTGTGTGTTTTTCTTTTAGTGGTCTCGCGTCATAGAGCTGTTAGTTTTTACCTGCAAAGATATAATTATATAAAGATTAATTTTCTAGTAGGTATACTTGGGCGCATAATGGCGGTATATTATGATTTGATTATTTAATAGATGTCGTTCGTGTTATTTATTTATATACAACTAGGTTTTGCCCGCGGTTTCACCCGCGTGATAAGTAGGGATTTAAAGGTATAGATATAGGTTATATCCGTCCCCATGATGCAATCTATGTCCTTGCCAAATTTTATCGAAATCTGTTTAGCGTTTTAAGCGAAGTTATCAAAATAAATCCGAAAAAAAGTTTTATTCAAAACATATGCGAAAGTGCGCGTTAGTGTTTCCAATGTACTAATCAGATTGTGAGTTTTCGCTGTACTTGCATCACCGTAAGGATGACGCAAGATTCATACCAGATAAATGATAATTTGTCATTTATTAAAATAAAATTATATGAAACCTATAGTAGAAGAACATCCCGATCTATTTATTTATTTACACTCTATTGTACACCACAATCATGAAGTAAATACAGTTAACATAATATAAAACAAAAACAAAAGTGTGCACAAAAGGCGGTTTTATCGATAATTAGCGATTTCTTTTAGACAACCTTTGGGTGAGATAATATGGAAGACTGAATAGTCTTATACACCACCCACCCTGTATGAATATACAGGGTGGGTGGTGTAAATATTATATACAATACATACCATGATACAACCTTATACTTAGAAATACTACACACACACACACACACACATATATATATATATATATATATATATATATGTGTGTGTGTGTGTGTGTGTGTAGTGTGTATATATATATATATACTAGCATTGCCCGCGGCTCCGCCCGCGTTCAGATGACCAAAAACTAAATTCTTAGGTGTTACATATTAGTATACTCTTACATTGCAGTTTTTGTATTTTTCCTCAGAAATAAGATATTTTCCCGCGGTAAAAATTATCCTAGGATCGCGCGCTACATCGCCCGGTTTATATAGCTTGAGCAGGCGGTCGAGCGATGCGGGGCAGAGGGGATGGACTCGCCGTAGGCATCTCAATGCTCGCCAAGCATTAAAAATGTTTCGCTACTAATTACTTCTAACAACGATATCTCAAAAACTATTCATCTGATTGATTTAGTGTAAAGAGCAATTTTAATCTGCATTAAATGACTAAGCTAACTAAAATATTCATTTGGATAAGGATTAATACCGAACTAAAGAAAATAACTTTGAAAATAACGTAATGTTTTTAATTAAAAATGTTAACATAAAAGTGGTTATTGTAAGTCAACCGTAAGAGATAGAGATATGCTATCGCGGACTTTTTTGTAGCATTTTTATAGATTTTGAATTCTCTAGTACATTACTTAACTGTATCTTTGCTAGTTTACGCGGCGTTCGCGTGGAAAGTTCCCATTTGGCGAGATTTTTTGCGACCTCTTCAACATTTGTCGCCGTATTTCAGCTAATTTACATAAAAGCATAATAAATTATATACCTAAACCTTCCTCAAGAATTACTCTTTCTATTGTTGAAAACCGTATAAAAATCCGTTCAGTAGTTTTCGAGTTTATCGCGTACAGACAGACAGGAGGACAGACAGGAGGACAGAAAGACGCGGCCGGGGGACTTATTTTTATAATAAGTATAGATAGATAGATATATATATATATATATATATATATATATATATATATATATATATATATATATATATATATAAACTAATACATATTTAAATTATAATTAATATAAATGATCGTACAAAGTCGACTATTTATTTAGTGAAATGATCTAGAAAGTGATTATGAACAGATTTTTTAAATATTTTTTTATGTTTTAGAAGGTTTTATATCAACAGGCAAACTGTTCCAAAGTTTGGTTGCTTGTACAGAGTAGGAGTTCTCGAAGAACTTACTTAAATGTACAGGTATTCTTAGCATCAAATTCTCTGAAGATCTTAAACCTATTTGTATGAGTTCCTAGAAATTCAAACTTCTCCTTAAAAATAAGGCGGATATTATGTTGGATTAAACAACACACAGTACAGAAGAGAGAGAATGTGTAGATCTATGTGGTGGATCCCTCAGTCTTTTTCCAGGCTAAATATATTTTTTAAACTATAAAACATATTAACACAATGAACACGATCCAGAGTTGTCACCAAAAATGCTAAGTTTGCTATTTTTGTTGTGAAAACCTCTAAGTTTCGAGGTGTTTTGGTAAAACAACCCTATATCATTACATTTGTAATGGAATTATCTACAATTTTGATACTTGGTTGGTTATGGTAAATATGATCCGATACTAGCTATTAACTACCTCGATTTACCTGTTTATACTTGGATGTCAGATAACGTGGATTCGAAAAAGGCCGGAAACCGTATTATACTGACATTTTTAATCCGGTCAAAATAGACATTTTAAATAACAAACACCCCGACAGACCTAAATTGGACCGAGTCATACAAAAAAACACCCATGTGCGTAAAAGTACCAACAGAGTTATAAGCATTTTATTATAAAATATAAAATAATTGTAAAAAATAAACAATACTTATATAAATATTGTTCAATTTTAAAATAACCAGAAAAACAAAACATAACCCAAGTGCAACTATCGACAGAAAAATGCTTATGACTCTGTTGGTACTTTTACGCACATGGCTGTTTTTTGCATAACTTGGTCCAATTTTGGTAGATACCTTAGGCATATCGGTAGAAATGAAGTGCCAAAAGTTCAGATGACCAACTAAATTCTTAGGTTTTACATATTAGTATACTCTTACAATGCAGTTTCTGTATTTTTTCTCAGAAATGAGACATTTTCCCGCGGTAAAAAGTATCCTATATGTTGACCCGGATAACCAGCTATCATCGTACCAAATTTCATCAAAATCTGTCCCGTGGTTTTCTCGTGATGCGGTAACAGACAGACAGACAGATAGACAGACAGACAGACAGACAAAAAATCTAAAAACTATAGATTCGGACTCTGTATCGATAATAATGTCTATTTCAATAAGATTTTCCAAAAAATATTTAATTTACAGATTCGGCTTAGTTAGAATTTTACTATATGTATAGATTTGATCGGGCTATTTCAACAAGTCTTTTACTTTCGATTAATACTAAGTTGTCACATGAAAAGAGATCAATATTATAACAATAACGACACGTTTGGCTCAGTTTGTAGTAACCCTATTTGCTTTGCCAGCGGACGCGGGTTCGAGTCCCGCTGGGGGCATTAATTTGTGTGATGAGCACGATTGCTTGCACTCGGTCATGAGTGTTTATATTTATAATATGTATGTATTTAAAGTTATATAATATGTGTAGTGTATCAACCATCTAGTATTCATAACACAGGCCTCGTAGCTTACCATGGAACTACATGGTGTTGTGTGTTAATCTCCCTACATATTTATTATTATTATTATATTAATATGGAGAACGTTATATTATATCGAATAATAATTCTACAAAAATGAGGTTAAAATAATTCTCAATATGACGACGAAATCATATTAATTTCCGAGTTAGTTAAATGTAACTTCTTTCCCATACAAAAATACTCATACTATAAACACAATCAATACAAAATTCAAATCATTCAATGACAATATGTAAATTTAAAACTGTCTGTATTGACATATTACCTTTTACGGAATCATAAAAAAAATTAAAGGTGTTGTCAACTTCGTACATAATATAAAAAAAGCAAACATTGCATATTCTAATATATTTAAACGAGCAATTTTTGTATATATATATATATATATATATATAATCTGAATCTCGGAAATGGCTCCAAGGATTTTCATGAAATTTATTATACAAGGGGTTTCGGGGGCGATAATTCGATCTAGATCTTCCAAATAAATAAAAAAAAAAAGATTAGTCTTATGTCTGAGAAAACGCGTGTTTTCGAATTTTCATGCGGTTTTTTTTTTGCATAATTATATTATTACTAGCGGCTCACCCTCGCTTCGCTCGGGTTCACCTCTAGAAAAACACAGACATATCTATCCCACGGGAACCGTTCTTTTTTCCAGGATGAAAAATAACCTGTTGTTTGACCGGCAATATAAGGTATCAGCATGCCAAATTTTACTAAATTAGGTGCGTAACTTGTTGTGTAGTAAGCTGTATAAGTTACTATAGTTTTTTGACTATCCCACGGAAACTCTTTATTTTTCCGGGATGAAAAAGATGTTGCCCGGGGATATAAGGTACCACCATGCAAAATTTTGTTTAAATCAATTCGGAGATTAGCCCGTACAAATAGAAAAACAGACAATCAGCTCGCTCGGGTTCGTCCATACCTACGAATATGTTTTTTTTTATAGTTATATAAAAAAACTACTTTTTGTGACTTAAATATAAAAGTTAGATATATGCTGTCGCTGACTTTTTTGTAGGCATTATTAAGCTCTACAACTTTTCTTTAGAACATAATCATATATCTCTCATCGTTAAGGCAGCGTTCGTAAGAAACGTTTTCGTTCGACCGTTTTTTGTCCGACTTACTTTGCAAATCCGACTACCATGAAAAAGCCTTTTCATTCTTCGGGTTAATATATAGCCTATGGCACTCAGAAAGAACGTGGCTTTCTATTAGTAAAACAATTTTGAAAATCGGTTAAGTAGATCCAGAGATTATAACGTCGCTAGTTTTAAATAAAAATATCTTTCGGCTTTTTCGAGGATTACTTTAAAATTAAAATAAATCTGCGAAAAAATCCTGAAGATAATTTTATTTAAAATGAACAAAGTTTAATTTAATTTCATTTCAACTAAGGTGTAAAGAACACACATAAAAATTAATGACAAAAGAATATTTTAAAATATTTTTAAAGTAAGCAACACCGAATGATTCAGCTAGTAGTCAAAAAACGCGGCAGTTCACAGCGAGCCTGTGATTGGACGAGAGAGATGGCACGGTATCGCGTGATCATCGC